TAAATTTAATGAAACCCTTTTCTGTGTACCACTATTGTTTTAGTTTTATTTATTATTATTATTACACAATTTATACTTCACATTAAATGAAATGTAATGTTAATTAATGAATATGTGGCCCTCTCAAAGTGGCCCCGGAGCCAAAAAATTGCCCACCCCTAACCTACAGTAGAAAACTTTAACTATTCAAGTTACACATGTAAATGGCATTACTCGATAAAATTTTAGATTTTTTCCACTTTGTGAAATACACCATGAGAGAGAGAAAGAGAGAAAAACATTTTTGATGAATTAAATAACCAATGAAAACTTCTGTCTATGGCTATGAAACACTGATAAAAACTTCCACTTATAATCTAACCAAATCCCTTCGAATGAACAATTTTAAGTGAAATCTCAACAATCAAAAATCTGATATCATCAGTTGCTGCAGATTAGAGAATTTACCAAATCACGTAGTTAGGTATACACTTCTAATCCAATACTCAACCACATTCGACTAATGCAAATTTACAAGATATTTTACAAGTTAGATAAAGGAAAAAAATAATATCAATAAAATGAAAAGCAAGTGAAATTTTTATGAAGTACAGGTAAAAGTAAATATAAAAAGAAATCCGTGTATTGACCTTCATAAGAAAACTGATTGTAACCATTTTGAAAATGGCTAACAAGAACTGAGAAGTGAGCAAAGACTAAAGTCTGATAGTGGGGGAGGAGAGTCAAGATTGTTCTTCTCATCTTTTAGATGAATGAAACATGAAGAAATCAAAATAATGGTGACAAGTTGGTATAATAAATATAAATAAATCACTAACGACTCTACAAGCATACAGCAATTATATGTAAACATTATAACATTAATGGAAAAATACTGCTAAAATTAAAGAACAAAAGATTTTTCAATATTGAAATATTGGTTTTAAATGTATTTAACAACCAATGATACATTTAAGCCAGTAAAGATGTTTGCAAGTCAGTTTATGTGTGACATCACCATAATGTACAATGTTATAATGTTCAATGACTAGTTTTTTTTTTTTTTAAATAAAAAATCTTGTTTTATTTTATTAGGATTTTTGGAAACTAACCTTCTGAGTTGGATAGTCACAAAAATCTAAGTTATTTGGTATTGTTTATTTTAATTATCTATGTTAATCTTTTTAACGATCAACAGAAAGTATAAAGTTGAAACAAGTTTTGTGGGCTGAAAAATTAACTAGTTTCCTTTACAATATGAAAACAATTAAGGTCAAATTTTTATTTCCAGAAAACTTGACAGTTTTGCTAACAGCATAAACTTTTCAACCAGTCAACAATCTAAGTGCTGACCAATCTAAAAATACAAAGTATCTGCCATGGAGGTGCTCCTTAAATTTTAAATAAAAGAATAGAATTCATTTTTCAGAATATGAACATAACAGAATCTGAACTGGCCCATTATGATTTGCTTTTTGGGACTTTATTTTTATTAGAATGAGATATAATAAATTAAGACTATTTTTTTTTTTTTTTAGATTATGATAGAAAATGCTCAAGAATAAAGGATGAAGTATGAAAAAAAAGTTCAATGTTTAATGATCAATGCAAGAAGAAACTCTACAATTCAACAAGATTTAAAGGAAATTTTGACTAATTTCAACTTTTGCAGATCAACTGCAAATGATTTTTTGATGTTTATTAAGAACATTGCAAGACATGCATAAAAACATTTTTTCAAGTGAAATGGACCAGCCTATTTTAATTATGAACATTCAATGTATGCAGTTTTTACCTGAACAACAACCTCTGGTGCAAAGTACACAACTAGTGCAGCCACACAACAACCCCAATAAAATAAATATGCAAGGTGATATTAAGGCACACAAATGGTGATCTAGAAAATATGCATCATACTATAGCTGAACAACTTGTTTAAATCAACCAGTGATTAATATTTTTTGTAAGATATTCAATATTGAGGAATTTATTAGAAAATTATCAAATTTTGAGGTGATTAGCTTATTTCAAAAGCTTTAACTAGAGAGTTTCTGACATCATTAAAAAAACAACTGAAATATTAAAGATATTTTTAAAAGTTAAATGTTTACCTCGATGACAATAAGAAGTAGCTTATAATAAGTAATTAAAAGGGGAACACCTACTATCCATCAGTGTTAAATGGGGATCAATGTAGCAAGTTTTGTCATTCCGAACTTTTAATTCATTTCTGAAGAAATAGTATTTTAAAACCAATTTCATATTTATATATATATATATATATATATATATATATATATATATATATATATATATATATATATATATACACACACACTTTATTATTTCCAATGTTATTTTAGTGGATACCTGTGTTTGACCCACTTTTTTAAAACAGTTTATATTATGTTTACCAGACTGCACACTTGAGGAAACTTAAGTTGAGTATGCAGGTCTGTAGATGTACTAAAAATTAAAAATGGGACATATTCTCAAACATGGGTATCAACTAAAATTACTAAGTACTAAAATTGTTGGATTAAAAATAAGTCCATTCATTCTTTAGAAATTATATATTATACAAACAAGAGCATACTAATAACTCTTCTACTGAGCCCTCTTCTCAAAATGTGAATAAACCTCAGAAAATTACTTTTTTTTTTTTAATTATAAATCACTCCTTGGTTGGACTAAGAACTTGACCTGACCAAAATGCTGATAAAAAATTTAATCTTTGATCATTTGGATAGATTTTAGCATTTGGCCAAGAAAGTTTCAGCATTCACATCATGTATTAATTTAACAAAATACAAAAGATAGTCGTTTTAAATTGTTTCAGTTTCTTAGATGAAGCATTGTCATTACTAAGTTTTAACTGGGTTTTCTTTCATTTATAAGATGAAAAGAAAAACTAATCAAAATCAACAATCTAAAGGGATAATTTCATTTTCTTTATAAAGTATTTCATACAGTGTAGACATAGGAATCAACAGTGCATAATGACTGTCAGTTTTATGCCTTGATATCATCTTCAGATCAATTTCATATATTTTTATGAATAACAACAACAATTTTATTAAATTGTAGAAAATAAATTTAGGCTTTTCATCAAGCATGATTGTTTTTCATATATTATACAAATTTGTAAATGTAAAATTTTGTTTTCTTTAATCATAAAATATTATGTCATTATATTAAAATATAACTTTGAGAATAGAAAAATTCTTAATTTTATAATATTGGAAGATTTAAACAGTTTTTCATGGTTTGCACCAATTTTATGGTAAATGTAATTTTATTGAATACCAAGTATCACATGTGTGAAAGAAAAAGATCAAACCAAGAAAAGACTTGTTAAAAATATAAATGCCGCAGATTTAACCACAATTCAACTGCCATAATTGCTGCTCATCCCATAAAATATAGATTTTACATCAAGATTTGTTAACATTTGTTGGGAGGTTTCTAAGATCACTGTAAAAAAAAAAAAAAAAAAAAAAATGATTAAAGTTGTTTATAGCAATGATTAGCATTTGGGTAAAAACTTTGAATTTTCCAGTTAACCAATTCAGTATTTGATTTACAGAATAAATCCCTTAACTTCTTAGCTTGTTATTAGTATTGTATAGGAGTTTTTTTATATATTTGAGACTGCAAATGCTAAAAAGTAAATTTTAAATCCTAGATTTTTTTAAGTGGTATGCAAGTTAAAAATATTTCATAAATAAAACCGTTTGGGTAGGTTTTATTAAATGACTGACAACTTGATGAAGTGTTGCTGATTCCAAAAGGGCGTATGACGAGAAAAAAGTAATTTGTGGCCATAATAGTAAATTCTCATAAATGTAGAACATTTCTATCAATTTCCTTACATTGTTGGTTAGTAGCATTTCTTCAATAGCAATGGGCAAAAGAGAATTATATATAAATTTGATAAGACAAATGAAAAGAATATGTAATAAAATATTGAGAGAATGGGTTTTACAAGTGTGGTAGTCTCAGGACATATTAAAGAAAAAAAAAACAAAAACATACCTACAGCTCCCAAAAAAAGAAAAAAAAAAAAAACACGGTCCTGAACTGAATGCTATGGTATTCTCTGCATATCCAAGAAAAACAATAAATAAAAGTAATTATTTTTTAAGGTATAGAATTAGATACTGAAATCAACACCAAGTGGCAATAGTCTGTTTCATGCTTGAATGGAATCTTCAGGACATGAAGATTTCATTCAAGCTTGAAACAGACTGTTGCTGCTTTGGTGTTGACCTCAGTGTCCGTTTTACTTTTATATATGTCTCTATCTCAGATATTTAGCACTTTTACCCATAAATATAGCATACCTTAAAACTAAATTTTTATATATATATATATATATATATATATATATATATATACACACACATATATATATATATATATATATATATATATATATATATATATATATATATATATATATATACACACATATACACACACACATATATATATATATATATATATATATATATATATATATATACACACGAATATTATATATATATATATATATATATATATACACAAACATATATATATATATATATATATATATACACACATGAATGCATACATATATATATATATATACACACACACACACACACACACATACATCTATACATATATACACATACATACATACATACATACATACACATACGAGTGTCCTTATGTAAAAGGAACAAATTAATGTATTTGAAAAAAAAAAAAACTTTTTGTTAGATACCAGATTTATGTGTAATCAAAAAAATATGAAATTACTCCTTTTAGTCAAAAGCAAAATATTACTTTTTGGTGAATGCTGAAATAGAAAATAAATTAATTTTAAAAATGAAAATGCATAATATAAACAAAATCTAATTGTTTTGAAAAATGATAAAATTGATATCCACCAATAAAAATGACTTCACTTTATGCTTGTATAAATACAGATATATTATGAATGTATATAATAGCATAAAAAAGCATAACTTAAATTAACGTTGATTTTGTGGTCTTTTACTGTACCAATTTATATTTTTACTATCATTTTTTGTAGATATTTTATTGGCATTTACAGTTTCAATACTGGCCAAAAAAGTCTTTTGAATTTCACGCAGTTTGTTTTCTACAATGCCCAAAAGAGGGCGCTGAGAAGGATCGCCATGCCAACACTGTGTCATTATATCCCAGCATGCATTGCTGAATGTCTGTAATCGTTCTGGTCTTAAACCTAAAAAGTAAAAAGAATAATCATAAAATAAAATAATCAAATTTTATGAAAGGCATGACGTATCTTCCAAGTCCTTTTATATATCCTCCAAACATTCTGAATTAAATTTTCATTGCAATATACCTAGCTGATAAAAGTTTTTAACACATACTCTTAAGTCCTGAATATAAGGGGGATTGAAATTGTAGCAGAGATTGGAAGAAATTTTCACATATAATAAACATGGTATCCCAACTTGAAGTTAGAAAGTAGCTCACCGAGCTGTAACTTCTCTACGCTTGTGTACATATACCCTCCCACCTCTCTTAAATATTCTCAGTGTCATTCACACATGAAAAAAATGTGAAGGACTAAAAAAGCATTCATGTTTTGATCCATATTTGATTATAAGACAAGTCATCTCATTAAGGAAAAAGAAAGCCACATATACGTGTTAAGATTACAATGCTAAGTAATCTTGATTTTAACTAACAAAGACAGAATATTTCAGATGACACATTATGGAATTGCACAGAGAAATATTTAAGTGATAATATTAAAAAAAAAAAAAATACAAGTGTTGAGAGGAGTGATGGCTATTCAAGATCATAAGGATTGTCTACATCCTAAAGTGAAATGTCATGTAAGTGATATCTGTATGCTAATAGTGAAATTAATCACTTCCACACAGGAAACAGGCATTTCATTGACTGAACAATTTGATTGATTCATTCATTTTTTATGTCTTATCAACCCATTGCAGGTTATTTAAAACCAGAAAATATGATTAGATTCTAAGATTTTTTTTTTTTTTGATGATGATTTAGTGGTACAAATCTTTAATTAACCCATAGCTAGTGGGAGAGAAGAGATGAATTTATAACTTTCCCAAGGACATTTGCAGTGAATATAACAAACCAAACTGAAATTAGAACTCGGCTCTCTGATTAACAACTTCGAGCCATTATCCATTACACCACCTGCACATCCAAGATTGCAGCACTTGATATTCTCAAGCAGTTACCTATCTCCGTACTGACATTGCTTAATTTTGGTGATTATATGGGAACTAATGTCTGTAAGCCTGAACAGTTAGTGTTAATGTCAGTTGAAATTTATCTTTTCTTTAAAATAGTTTTTTAAGTTCACATTCACCACTTTCTAGTACTGATGGGATTTTCCTTCCTAGTCTTTTGTTTAAGTTATTATGGAAAGACAACATCTTGATTATATCTTTATTTCATTCTGAGTAAAGATAACAATGTGCACATTTAACTTGTTTTACAATTTCTTAAATATAAAAATAATAGCACCAAGGTGTTACCGTAGAAATTAAAAAAATAAAGGATTTGGTGCTTACACAATAACATCAAAAGATAGCTGAATATACTATGTACCTCGTTTGACTGAATGCCATAAGTGGTCCTTGTTAAAGCATTCATCAAATGCCTGAGGCAATTGGACTTTGCCTGAACATAGGTACCAGAAGAGAATTCCAAATGCATACACATCAACAGTATTGTCATATCGACCTGTGAAGAGTTCTGGAGCCATGTGAATTGGAGTACCCACAATACTTCCACTCATCATAGCCTCGGGTTTACAAAAACCCAAATCAGTCAGCTTTCCGCGATTTTTTTTGTCCATCTGGAAAATAAAGAATTTATACATCTGAGGAAACTTAAAAAGAGAAATTTATAAATTTATACCAAACATTCTTTTTTTTTTTTAAAGAAAAAGTACTTTCAGTGAACAGGGCTTATACAACATCTAAGATTTTCTGACATTGATATTTTTTTTTTGTTTATTCCAAAATTTAAACTGTTTTTAACTTATTCTAGATGGACCAGCTAAACTTGGCTGGCCAAAACAGGTAGAACTGAATATAATAAAACCTAAAACCAAATTGCCATTGTTTGGCTATTGAATCAGTCCAGCAACATGGCAGCTTCCATGTAACATCAACGTACTTTAGAAGCAGTATTTTATTTTGTGAGTTTTCATCAACAGTTCATCAAATTCCAATACTATGATAATCAGGCATCGATTCTGAATATCCAAGAGACCTTGCAGGCCATTCTCAACACTCATGATGAGCTTAAAGTTAGTGAAATAAATGGATTTTACTATGTGATTCTGAAATAGTTTTAGAATGTATTACAATTTCATCCATCATTGTGACATTTACAAATTATTTAACATTTTTCAGCAATTTTATTGCATTTGGTTTCAACAGAAATAGATATTCACAAGAAATATTGCCACTACCAAATAGCCAGAATATAAGGCTACTGGAGTATATATAAAAGTAGATAGGTTTGCCTACTGCCTGGTTCACTCTCCTCCCATCTTTTGAACAAGAGTAAATTTAAATGTAGCACTAGATTGGCAACTAGGTCTCATCATTTTACTGTTGTAATAGATGTAAAAATAAGTTCTATTCTGATAGTTTCTTCTCTCACACTTCTTGATGGTGGAACTCTTTCCTGACTCTTCAAAAATTTAAATCCAATGTCAATCACCATTTTCTGTATTTCTGAATCCTGTTTTATTTCCCTTTCTGCTTGCTAACACATTTTCTTTCACTCTCAGTAACTCCTTGTGGTTAGATTGTCTTGCTTAGGGTGTAATGATTAAAAAAAACAGTTGATTTTTAAAATAAATTATGATTTCCTAAATCTAATAAAAAAATATACATCAAGTATATTTTAGTTTTGACTTACAGTGGTACAAAATTCTTTCTTTAAATAATTTGGAAAAAAAAAATCAATTTGAAAGAAATATAGAAAGACAGACAGACAAAAAAAAAAATAATGTCTTGAGATTTGGTTCTCAGGCATCTGATCTTAATTGATTGGAGATATTGACATGTACATGTATTGTCTTGGTGAATTAAGATTGGCTACAGTAAATAAACATAGCCATAAATTTGCTTGTCAGTATTGCCTAATTTTAACCAGTTAGTCATATCCACTAAAGGCTAAAACATTATACATGTCTGTTCATGAGCCAGAATAGCAGGAGAACATCATGGACTGTTTTTTTTTTTTTTTTAAGTTTGAAGGATGAGATACTTTGGAACACCATCAGTTGAAGACACTCTGAGTATACTGGGTTATCTGACCTGAAGATAGTTGTAACTAGACCTCATCCAGTGATGGCCCTAGGGTGGTTGGTACCCTGGGCAAGTTGAACTTCAGCCCCCCCCCCCCCCACTACAAGTATTATTTTAAAAAATTTTGACAAGGAGAAAAATTGAAAATGTAGAATAACAAGTTTATTACAATATACAACTTAATACAAGTTAAAGAAAACATTCAGTATCATACGTAAAAACTTTTCTAGCCTTTAAATCTGTAAATCTTTTCATGGCACTTTCTACACCTATCTTCTTTACAAAATCATTTTCTATTGACAAAATAGTCAAAGAATTTAATCTGTTGTGGGAATGCTGGTTGTGTTTAGGTAGAAAACACTTGTCTCCTAGTATATTTTTCCCCACAACAATTATTACAGACTCTAATGTGAGTCCTGGTAATAAATGATAAAAGTAACAAAAAAAAAAAACTATATACAAAAAAATGACAATATATGTATTAACAAAACAAAGATATACATAGACAATAAAAGATTGTTGCATGTGATAAAACAATGAATATGAAAGAAGAAAACATTTAAACTAGAGAATGTGTATGTGTGTGTGTGTGTGTGAAGTTTGTGCAGGAGAAGACCAAGAGAAAAGTAATTGAAAGTGAAGTAAACATGTGCCCCGGTGGAGGCAGGGTGCACATTTTTATGCCACATATGAGCGTGTCTCAGAGAAAAGTAGAAAAGAGAGCATGACAGAGAATGTTACTGTCCATTAAAAGACTTAAGGAGTGTCCCTTAGAGATGGTTTTTTTGTAAAGTGGGATGACCCCCACAAAGTAGAAAATGGATGACTGCATGTATGTTTTTATAAGCTTTAGTTTTGGAAGACTGCAAACACATGACATGGCAGCATTAAGTCACCTTCAGCCTTGATGGCACCCTGGGTAACTTCCCAAGTTACAAGTACCTTGAGCTGGCCCTGATCTCACCCACAAGATTAAGAGCTGTGTTAAAAATTCCACTTTAGTCAGATGAACAGTTATTTGCAGTTAGATAGAGGGGTTAGAGTTATCTTCCCCTAGTTTCTTTGTTTTTATTGTTGTTATAAGGACACACTGATGTGTTGTCCCTAATAAGTCACTACATGTGTTAATACAGTACAAAATGTTTCCTTCTTGACTTTATCCTCCTGTCTGGAATATGAAGTTGAATACCTGCATTCACACAAAACAAGGTATATCAACATTTGCTAACTTGATTTGTAAATTACTAACAAGCTGATTTTATCAGAAACCTTTACCATGACATGTACTTGGCTGTGAGTCAGACTGGTTGTCATGATGGGTAAATTGAGCCTCGTATATTTGTATCTCAGCATCACTTTGTTGATGTGCTGTTCTATAATAATAATAATAATTGCTGAGGTTAGAATTTCTGCTCAAATTTTTGTATGAAAGCAGATTCATTGTTTTAATAGGACAAGTAGAATATTTTCCTGAATTTACTATACAGTACAATTTTACTATTGAAACTATTTCAAGAATACAGTAGCTTAAATAAAAACAGAACCTACCAGAACGTTTTTCATTTTAATGTCTCTATGAACAAGTCCTTGACTGTGGAGAAATCGGATCCCTTCAACAACATCAATTGCAACTTGCAACCTACAATCAACAAAATGGATTTCATAGAAAAGTAGCAAGAATTTACCTTGACGCAAACAGATCACAATTCTATGCTTACAATTAGATAAAGAGAAACATGTTAGATGCTTTCTTAGGAGATTTAGGTATTTTTCAACTAAACATTGGTGTAAAGGGATTTTATATCTAGACTAGCCATAAGTTTGCCAGCCCTCTTCATTTTCCTTTTGTGTTTCAGTAATTATTTTCTGTTTCTTTATTTTTTTGTATGTGTCAGTATTATTGAGTAATGAAATAGTTTTTTCTACATATGCATTCTTGTTCATAATCACAATTCCACCTTCCTTGTCAGAGGGAGTCATTTTTTGCTAGGTTGCTTAGTGCATTTAGGTGTCTCTGTGGTAATGTATTTTTCATTTTTGGTTTCTATAGTAACTGTGATTATGATTTGAATGAAATCTTTGGTAAATTCAGAGTCATTTTGTTTATGATTTTTATTTTAGCATCTCCTATGTCTCCTTTATGAATTCCAATGACAAATTTTAAACTGAAGCTGAGGGCTTCCTGTTCTGTATTGGATAGATTTATATCCAATAAATTTTCTATTAGATCTGGTCTTCTAACATATTTCTACTTGCTGTTACTGTGTAGGGTGTTGAATTTTTGTCTTTGTTGTCCGAGACAAAAACTCAACATCCTATGCAGTAATAACAAGTGGAAATGATGGAAGGCCAGATCTAATAGAAAGAAAAGAGAAATAAAGATATACTTTTATAGTGATTATATACATTTCTAAAGAACTAATGGATTTATTTTTATTCCAACATTTTTATTACTTTAAAAGTTATTATAGTGAACACTTGTATTTGAAATAGATGCCCCATTTTATTTTAACTTTAAACAATGTATATTATGTCTATTGGCCTGTGCACTGAAGAAATCTCAAAGAAAATGTGCTCTCCAGCAGGAATCAACCATATGTTCCCCTTTGTAGGCAGAACTATCATTTGATGCAATGTGCTTTACCACTCAGCTATGAAGAGAGTGACACTTCGGCAAGGCTGTGTTTTCATTTTTAAAGAAAGCGCACCTTTCTCACTATAATATTTTTCTTGAAAGACATATTTTCTCACCTTTGTATCCGAAACATAAACAAAGAAATTTCTAAAGAATTAATGGATTAATATTTAATTCAACAGTTTTAAGACATAATACACACTGTTTAAAGTAAAAGTAAAAATGGGGCATCTATTTCAAATATGAATATCCATTATAATAATATTTGAATATATATAAGTTTTTGAACATTTTATTTAAATTTGTTGACTATTATTTTTATTTATTTACTATTAATGGTTTATTTCTTAATACTGAGCCTTTTACTTACAAAAGACTGCTTAATACAGGTTAACAATTTTTTTTTCCACAAAACACTGTTATAATAAATTAGATACACACACAAAATATGTATATTAGACCAACAGGTTTTTTCAGAAAGAAATTTTATTGAAAATGTGACAAGGAATTTTAGGGAGATAAAATTTTCAAACTTTCTAGGAAATGAATTATTAGAATCCTCAAATAATTTTCATCTTGTTTTCAACCATTTTCATGACAGCAATGTATAATGTGTTTTTATTTATTACCCATTTTAAGTTGAAATCATAAGTGTAATCCTTATTAATTCTGTTAAGTCAATTATTTCAGTCAAGATAATTAACAATTGTTCAAAGGCAATTTTATTTAACTAGAAATTACTTGATTGGATTATTCTGATTATTTTTTGGAGAAATACCAAGTAAAACCACAATCTTCTCCTTGGTTCTCTGTTCAGCTGCTATAGCCCACAGGAATCACTTCTAGCTATACCAGAGTGACAGGTTAAATTATAATAGACATCTCTTTTGTAATGAATGTAAGCAGGTCCTCAAAAAGGTAAAGTCACTATTTGCTGATAGAATGGGACCCCATATAGACTCTCACAAGTTTGGTTTTAGAGATTAATGGTGGCTCTGCAAAAGTGTACTGAACAAGAACAAATCCTCAGTCCCTCTTCTCTTCAATCAATTTGAAGTGCTGTCATCTACTGCAGATAAAACAGAGTGTTTTGCTCAGAAATTCTCTTCCAACTCCACTCTCAACTTATCTGGAGTATCTCTGCTTGATTGAAACCAGTCTCTATTGAGTGGTATGCACATAACTCTGTACATGGTTTCTGGTATCATTTCTAAACTAGATCTCCACAAGGCTTGTGGATTTGATGGTATCTCTGTAATTGTCTTAAAGAAATGTACTCCTGAACTGGCTCCTGTTCTCTTCAAACTTTACAATAAATGCCTCATTGCTTCTTGCTTTCCAGCTTGTTGGAAGTCATCCTCTGTAGTTCATGTCTTTAAGAACTCTGGGGGTCCTTCTGACACCTCAAATTATTAATCATTATTAGTCCCTTGTCTCTTTTTGGCAAAGTACTAGAGGCTCTAATCAATGGAAAATTAGTTTAGCATCTTACTTCACACAACCTCCTTTTGGATAAACAATATGGCTTCTGTTTCTCTAGGTCTACTGCGAATATGTTAACAGCTGTTACTGAATTTGTTCTTCAATTTTAGATAAGGATGGTGAAGCTCTGGCTGTGACTCTAGATATCTCAAAGGTATTCAACAGGCTTTGTCATACTGGCCTATGTTGTCTCTGGATGAGTATTTGGCTTAACCCAATCCTTCCTAGCAAATCATGTAATTAAGGTAATGTTGAACAGACATGCTTCTAGATCATTTCATATTAATTCCGCCTCTCCACCTGGCTCTAACTTTGTACGTATGTTGTATCTTGTCTTCATCAATGACCTTCCAGATGCCACTAGTTCTCAACTAGTTATTTATTCTGATGATACAACCATTTACTCGTCTTAGTAGCAAGCCCAATAGGTTGGACAAAATAAAACCGCTACTTTCCAAAAGAGCCTCCAATCAATGGTCAACTTGGACAAGGAATGGTTTGTAAATTTTAATGCCTCTAAAACAAAATTTACTCACCCTAGAGAAATTTTTATGCCTTCCATCAGTATGGCTGATGCTAACCACCAGGAGAGCAACTCTTTGTGCCTTCTTTGTCTCATGTTTGAGACACAAAGTGGAATTGTTATACTGAATGAATTGCTAGGTCAATTGGCTTAATATGCCGTGCCAGACAATTTTATCTCATCAGAATCCATCTTACACATTTATAAATCTGCCATTCATCCATGCATTAAATATTGCTGCCATATTAGGTTTGGTGCTTCTACTATCTTGCGATTCTTGAAAAAATCCAAAGAAAGGTCTGAAATATAACTGATTCTGACCTAACATCTATACTTCAGTCACTTTCTCACCGATATGACATGGCTTCTCTCACTTCTATTTCTACAAATATTTTCATGACAATTGTTCTGACAAGCTGTTCTCCTTAGTGCCTGGAATGCATGAATTTAAGTGTACTATTTTTCTTTTCTCACAAGTCTAATGAAGTAAAACTGGCAACTGCTGACAAAAATTTTTATTTTTAAATATAAATAAATACTGACAGGATATATTGAGGAAAGGAGGGACAGATGAAACAGAAACTTAACTAACGAATTTATGTGGATAGAATCATGTCAAGGATGGTAAAGAGTCAAATGTTCCTTAGAGCTACAAGAGACAGGAAATGGGGAGAGCCATGACTGACCATGTCCTGAAAGGACATGATACATAAATGTTGAAGAGACAATCTACTATTTTACCATCTTAGAAAAATCTCAGAATCTTATAACATTTAATGATGTCTTTATTTATCTATCCACATAGATGCAAATTTACTCAAACCATGACTGAAATCTCATGTCAATAACGACATAGAATTTAAAAAGTGTCAAGGAATACATTGGTCCACATTGCTTAACATGATATTTTGCTTTTAAATATAATTCAGGAAGAAGCAGCAAAATATTCAGTTAAAATCAACAGTGAATTAAAGAATTCAATTTATTCCATTCAAAAGAAAATCCTAAATTTACATGCCATGTTAATATGTTTAGAAAAACTGAAAGATTTTTAGTCTTACCTGCTTGCCCAGTCAAGTTGCTGTTTAAGAGCCGAGTGTAGATCTCTTTGCAAACGGTCCATGACCAGGAGAACAGCAGGAGACAAACCACCACAGTAAAGATAGTCAATCACTGAACCACGCAGGGAAACAATACGATCATGTTCTGGAATATTCCTAAAAATAAAAATTTAAATTTTGAATTAATCTGAAATTCTAGCATTATAATTTTCTAACATGTGTAGCATTAAAGAACTATATAAGACTTTCATTATGTGGAAAAAAAAAAGTAATGTGTGGGATAAGTTTTGTTACAACATATTTTAAATATATCTGTCTATATTTCTGATATGAGGTATTGTAATTCTTTTTTTTTTTTTTTTTTTTTTTTTTTTTTTTACACGATTTACATTGTTTTGGACTGTTGTCCTCATTTTTGTTGCCATATTCACAGTGTTTAAGCAGTTGTATATTATGGGCCTTCTTCAGGTGATTGGAATTTCAAACTGAACCCTTTATTTTGTCCACTGGGGTAGACTGTTCTAGTCCCACATACCATGTCCTCAAGGACACATGGCTCAATAGTTAAAAGCCTTGGTTGGATCCAGTGAATTGACCCAAAGAGTTGTGAGTTACTGAAGTGGCGAACAAAAACTTAGAGAGTTGAGTTAAAGAGCGATAACTGAGACATCCAGAAGAGGCATGGCATGTAGAACTAGAACAATCTACCCCAGTGGACGAAAAAGAAGGGTTCAGTTCAAAATTCCAATCACCTGAAGAAGGCCAGAGTGTACAACAGCTGAAACATCATGAATATGGCAACAAAGATGAGGATCACTCTGAACAATACAAATAGTGTAAATAAAATATTTACAAAGATTTTGTCATTAGGGGAAAAGAGGCCATATATAAATCCTTGTATTCAATTTTGCTTCTCCCAAAAATAAGTAAAAAAGATTTATTATTCTGAATGGTACAATATTCAAATATAACCAAGAGGGTTCATAAACTAATACCAAATAGATGGGATTCATTAATCCTAATCATATCAGAAAAAAAAATTATTTTAAACTTAGAAAAAAAACAAAAAAAAACAAACAATTACATATATATAATGAAACAATTGTAGTTGGTAATTTCTAGCTATGATAATGTTGGCAATTAAAAGTGCTCAATACAATGTAGAGCCTATAAAACACAAGATAAATGAAGAATAAAATAATAAAACCCAAGGCAACTACAGTTTCACCCTCAAAAATAAAGGATCATCAGGCCAGGTTCAATCGTGATCTTGTGTTGCTCATGGTTTACACCTTAAATATAGAGAATTCATAGTTTTTAATTTTTGGGGTCCTGGATGTAAATGTCATCCTGGTTCCAAATTAGCTATTAATTTTTTTTTTTTTTTTTCAATTGATTGATTCATTTTCTACAGCTTATCAAAATTCTTACAATCAGTTACTTAAATCCAGAAAATATTGTTAGATTGTAAGAATTATTTTTGAGAGATGGTTTATTAATGCACGTTGTACAAGTCTTCCATAGCTGGGAAAAGAAGCGGTGGATACATACCTTTCCCAAGGGTATTTGCATGTAAATGAACCCAAAGGGAATTGGAACTTTGTTCTCCGATTAACAATCCCATGCCATTATTCATTACACCACCAGCAAATCCAAGCTTATAGCACCTGGTATTGCCAAACAGTCACTCATCTAAGTATTGATACTGCTTAATTTCAGTGATCATGAACCAGTGTTTCAATGTGATGTGGCCCAAATATTTTTTTGTATTCAAACATAGATATATAGACACAAGCACAAACAAGACTGGTTGCAGAAATACATTATTTTACCTTAAATATAAACAATTCATAATTTTATGTACATAAGTTCGATGCTTTGGCACACATCATCAGCGTTGTTTTTAGCTGAGGATCATCAGAGCTTTCAGGTCTTACAACAATATATTAACTAATAATATTCATATTCCAAATTTTGTTCCACACAAATTAACTTTTTTTTTCTGTGGTTGATGTTAGGACAATGTTTCAGTCAATCTATTGTTCAGCCAGGGGAAGACTGTTCTAGTTCCATGTGCCATGTCTAATGGATGTCAGTTATCTTTATCCACTGCACCATGTGTCCTTAAGTACACATGGCACAATGGATAAAGGCGTTGGTTAGATCCAGTGATAGGACTCAAAGAGTTGTGAGTTATATACCTGGTTAAGGCAGTGGAGAATTTGGAGGGGTGAATTAACAGGAGATAACTGATAACTGACATCCATTAGACATGGCATGTGGAACTAAAACAGTCTACCCCAGCAAGCAAAATAAAGGGTTCAGTTTGACATCTTTTTGTTATTCAGTTCACCCCAAGTGAGCGAAATAAAGGGTTCAGTTCGACATTCCAACCACCTGAAGAAGGCCGGAGTGTACAACGGCCGAAATGTTGTGATAAATATGGCGACAAAGATGAGGACAATAGTCCGAATAATGTAAATAATGTACATAATACCTCATCTCAGAAGTATAGACAGGTTCTTGAATCAATATGTACCCAATTAACTTACATCAATTTGTTTATATATATATATATATATATATATATATATAGCTTCTTGTTTAAATGCTTTATACTTGTGTAATTTTCTTTAGTGTAGAATTATTTGCTTGTGTCTACCTTACAATTATCTTCCATTATTCGTTATTCGTTTTCTTTCCAAACCAACTCAGTGTAAACTTCCTTATTCAGCAAAGGATGTATTTAAATCAATTTTGATTACCTAAGCACTCAGCCACCTTACAAAATGCAATTGCAGCAGATTGCATTTGTGACAAAAACAATTACAAATGTCAATCAAAACTGTAACCAGTAATTACATAAATGAAACGACATAAAATTAATAAAATTTAAAACAATAAAAAAAAAAGAAAAGTGTTTATTGTGTAATTATTAAAACAAGAATGTAGAAACAAGAGCTCTATCTTTGAAATTACAAAGGGGAAAAAGTGCATATCATTACCAAATTAATTTTGACATAAAAAAAGAAGACAATTAAGAGTAAGGAGCCTAATAATTAATAAGAGGGCCAAATACAGCTGGAAATAGAAACACAACTGAACATTTAATTAATGGAAACTTATTGTGGAATTTATACGTTTGCAGAAAAGATAGATATTAGTTGAAAAGTATGATTTTCATTGCTTTAGATTAAAAAAAAAAAAAGAAAGAAAAAAAGAAGAGTTATTGCCCTTTAAAAAAAATCTTTGTAACGTTAGGTGCTGAAAGATTCTTGGCCCGACCAGGAAGCCCTGAAAATATTTACTTTTTAAATCTGATATTTATACAGATTGTGACACATGGAAACAGTCTAGGACTTTTCAGTATCCCCTCACAACAGAGTAACAGATTAATAAGTTTCAACTATAAAGCTAACGCTTTAAAGTTTAATTTGAAAGTTTTGTAGCTTAAATGTGTCTCTATTACTAAGACGTCACTTGTACAATTCAGCATACCGCTGGTTCAATTCGCCGTTCTTGCTTTCTGTACACTTCAAAACATAAATCCGTTTTCCCTTCTTACTGCTTCAGACCTCTTTTATCAGGCCAACATCACAGTCGACCAACCAATCAGCATTCTTTGCTTTTATTCTCAGTTACCCAGGTAAATAGCCTCTTCCAGTTTGACCAATCAGCACACAACTTGCTATAGGTCAAAGTATGCCAAAGTGCACAAAAATCTTCGTTACCGCAGATACTGCTGGGATGGCTAGATGGAAGAGTAATGTTTTTAAGGAGCAAACTTACCGATGCCATGTGCCACATGTTGAGGTAAGACCCTTATTTTCCTATGCACCAGATACAAGCCACTCTGGCTCGCTTGTTTCTACAGGACTGTTCACCTCAAGTTTGAATTATAACAATTAATGAAAAGTAATGGTTCTGTACCAGAGTTTAAAAGAAACTAATGCATCCATAGTGGTTACTTTGCCAGAGAGCAATGGTTAAAGTTTACAGAGCATGCTTACTATGATGCGTTCTAATCATACTGAATGTCTTGAATTTGTGTCAGTAAATATCTATAAATAATGTATATTGGTATCTATAGGTTTTGATGATAAAAAATATCACACATTGAGTGCTGGTGGTAATAAAACAGTGCTTGGTATATAACAGCAGAGCTAAATATGTATATTAATAATAAATATACATTTAGTAGAAGAACTGAATTTCAAGCATGATGTAATTGTCAGGTGATGATTGAAAACAAATTGTTGAAAAATTTAAATATTGATATTTACACCATACTGTTATGATAGAAGAGCAGTCTATTTATTTGCAAGAAAGAATATATATATATATATATATATATATATATATATTATATGAGAATTTGCATGACAAAGTGGGAAAAGTTTACTTGTGATGCATTGTCCTGAAAACCTTTTCTACTTTGTCATACAATTACCCCAATTTTGTTCTTATATATATATATATATATATATATATATATATATATGTGTGTGTGTGTTTGTGTTGTTCTCTGTGGCTGAGCAGTAAGGCTCACTGTATCATATGGTGGTTTCCCCTCCAAAGTAGGTGGCAGATTCGATCCCTGCCAACAGGGGGTGAGGAGTGGAGGGGTACATTTTTCATTACTAATAATGCACATAATACACTGTTTAACATTTAGCACTTTGCATTGTTAATATTACTTCCCTTCCCAATGCATTTTCAGGCCTCTCAATTGCATTATCCTTATTGTTAATTTCACTCAAAGTTGCAGGATATGACAACACAACTATGAAATTCAAACACACTATTGTTCAGGGATCAGAGTCACCTTCAGTGGCCGGATAAACTTTTTGTACAGCAAATGAAGTCACATACAGAGTGATAAAGGTCAATAAAGAAAAATGGGGCATCTATTTCAAATAAATATTCACTATAATAACGTTTGAAATAATATAAATATAAAATAGGGCATGAATGTCTGTATTATCTCACATATTTTGATAAAAATCATGAGATAATTTCTGTAAAAATAACTATATAATTTTTATATACTAAATTAAAATATAATAATTTATACTTATTCTATATCACTGGAGTTCACAGATTTATTCTGATCCAAAGGGCATTTTTAATTTATGCAATTTAAGCAGACAAAAACTTTTATATACTTGGTATAGAAAAGTTCCATTGCCAGATCATTCCAGTGTTTTTCATCAGGTGGCACAACAGACTTGATGGCACAAGGGGCATGATTACCCCAAGCTTCACAAGCGTAGACAACTCCATACTGTCCTCGGCCAATTTCACGACCCATTCGAGGTACACCTGTTAGAAGATGCAAACAAATGGAGAGTGTCAAAGAAAAGTTTTTGCTTTTTGTTTTTTTAACACTGAGAAAAAAAAAATAGATGTTTTACAAACAATTTATTAACATTTATTTAAAATTATTTTAATCAATTAAAGAATCAAATGAATGGCATTTAAATAGCGATGTTCTATTGAGAAAAGTTTTTACATTTGAATCCTTGATTAAGTATTTTCATCATTAATTTTTTTTTTAACTAGTATTCTTTAATTTTTTTATTTAAAAAAAAAAAAAAAAAAAAAAAATCACAATATCAGCATAATACCCCACAAAATCATTTACACATGTCTTGGTACTTCTGCCTAGGATCCAAGTATTGTTCCACTTCCGCCCAGGTTAAGTAGAGTATCACACACACACAATGTGCGAGAGGATGTTAAAAATATTTTTGAACAAACCCAATGGAGAAGAGTATAAAAATAATGAAAAAATAAAATTCAGATTTTTGCTCAGATTCTAGGAAGTGTGTCATATTGAGGACTTTATTGATGGTGCTATATATATATATATATATATATATATATATATATAGATAGATAGATAGATAGAACATTATATTTGCACAATTTGTTGTATTTCTTTCCTACCTAAACATTGCATGGGTATGAGTGTGAGGTGGGGTCTGTAAAGTTTTTTTTTTACACTAAGTTTCACTCTTCACAAGGCTCAGGGCCCCTCGAGGTAGAAGGTTATATTAGGAAGCCATTTGGCTATTTGTGTGTATAGGTGTGGATGATAATAGTTAACCCTAGCCTTGAACAGGTTAAGAATGTAGTGATTGGGGAAACATCCTGTTGGAAATTGATTCCAAAGGGCAGAGGTTTGTAGGGAAAAAGCTGCTCAAGTGGAACTTACTTCTCATTGATAGAATACAAAGGGAATGTGCGAGGTTTGCTACTATGTAAGTGGCATGACATGTTCTTGCCACAAAGGTTTGTGTTGGCAGGACCAGGGAATGTAGTTTGTCCAAGTACTTTCTGTGGAAGTAGTGATAGAACAGTGAGGGGCTTGCCACATCTATCCTGTGGGAGAGAGGTTGAAGGGTAAAGAATAATTCATCACACACAAGGGCTCAAAGACACTTTTGAACTCTATCAGGGCTGGAGAGTCGGGTACTTACTGGAGCGGTACAGAGAGATGACCATTTTACCTGCATCCTTAAGAATGGATTGTATATACAAGTTCCACTTGAGGTAGGATGCGAGTTTGAGGCCCAACAGTCTTTCAAGGCATGGTGCTTCCCCGAGAGGACCTCCAGTTAACCTGATTGGTGGTAGTTCAAGGACAGATCAGCAATGATGGAATGTAACTAGCTTGGTCTTTGAGGCATTGAATGTAACCATTGAGTTTTTACCCTATTGGGTAGTTTGTGCAAGATTGGAAGAGAGATCATTTGCCAATCTCTGATCATCTAGAGTTTTAGATATGTGCCCATATATTGTCATATCATTGGCATAGATGTTTACAAATGATCTGAGTATATTCTTAGGTAGATCATTCATGGAGATCAAAAAGAGGGTTGGTCTGAGGCGTGACCCTGGGAGACCTCTGTGTTGACCGCTAGGAATGTGTGTGAATACTTTAATGATTAGGGGGTATTCAATTTAGAATTCAGATATATAAAAAGATTTTTATGCATTTGAATTCTGAATTGAATACCCTATAACATTAAAGCATTGTGAAACCGAAAAGTAATTTCAATCAAAACCTAAACTTGTTTTCTATTATTCTAGTAGTTTGCCTTACATAAACAATTCTTTAAACAATTCAGCTAGAGAAAGCCTAATGGCCAAACAAATCACCAAATGTATCCTTATATTACCACCCGTTCATTTTTAATTCTTCATACCATAATATAATGGCAAAAGTTAAATTCGTATCACTTAAGAGGAGCAGCACTTGTTATCATTACTACTACTACTTGTTACTACTACTTATGATGATTAAAAGCTATTTGAATTTGATTCCATTATTCCAATTTCATACCAGTTACTAAAATGGTTAGAGTGTATCTAACCAAGAACATTGTGATTAAAAGCAACAGTAAGATTAAGTGATAAACTTGACTGGCAAATTTATATCAGGTAGATATCAATTTCTGGCATTCTTTTGTTTTTGTTTAAAACAGAAGTTGATTTATGAAGCTTAAATACTTTAAAGGATGTAGATTTTGATAATAAATACTGATGTTACTGGTTTAACAACTTTTTTTTTTTATCACTAAAACATAATATCAGAGTTTTAACTTTGCTTTCAATATCAGAATTGTGTGATAAGATCTTAATGAGATGATTAGCCAAGAAAATTGTTCAGCTGAAAATAGTCAGAATGGCATGTAAACAGAAAATTAATTAACGTAATGGCTAAACAAGAGAATTCAGAGTAATGGCTTATGAACCAAAATAACAGATATATATACTTGATACATGAAAGTCAAATAAAAAATGTAACTCAAGTTACAGATGACAGCAAAAGATGAAAGGAAACAAGAAGTTCAATATGTTCCATTTTAAATCAAAACTAATGTTTTAATTTTAGGAATATATTTTTGTCCATTTTAAGTAATATTGTCTTTTGTTATTTTTGGTCATCAGACAAGATTGTAAATTTAAGGAGTCTTTCATCACACATAGATAAGGAAAGGTAACACAATACTAAATTGATCTTTGAACTAAGTTAACAAGTAAGGGGCACCTGCTGTAAAAAAAAAAAAAGTGTTTTCCTCTATATTTTATGATGTAATGAATATGCATACGCCTGGGTTCCCCCTCACATTAATATGGTTGGCTGGTGTCAGCCATAAATACAGACTGATGTGGAGGTACATGGGCTACGCCTATTGCCTACCACTACGACAAGGACCAGTCCATTACGATTGCCTGCTAGATTGTTCTACCCAGTTACAGTAGTCAACAACCACTTTACTACTTTGAACAAATATATCCCTTTCCGGGACATATCATTTTGAATAAGCAATATTTTTCAAAATTCATTTATGTAATCTTTAAGTTAATATTCACCAAAAACTACATTTCTATCAAGGGTAATTTATTTTGGGAAAATTAAATTAAAATTTTTTTTTCTTTTTTGGATGACAAAAAGGGACATCAAAACAGTTTAAAACCAGTTTTAAATGCACAAATGTATTTTTTACAATGAACTTTGTTATTTGTAGCAATTAAAACCAAAATTAAAAATTTAAATATATTTCAATACATTTTAAATTCTTAATAAAAGGAAATTTCCATGATCATTGCTGTAATTTCTTATATTTTTGATACCTATCTATGAGAAACCATGTGATACAGACATTTTTATTCTGTAGGTAAAATATGAAAGATGCATCATGGCTACTCTCTTAGATCTGGAGAAAAACTGTGACATATTGCTTGTTAAAAAGTAAGAGATACTCGCTTTAATATTAACATTTAGTCAAAGAATACTATTGCTTAGACAATTGGTCAACACTACATCAACAGAGGCAAATACAAAAAGTTGACAATTTTAATCATATCTTGCCAAATTTAACGATCCTTTCCATTTTGATTATTAGATAACCTTCAAATATTCAGTAAGAATGCATAATAAAAAGAGTTAGGTGATAATAGAGACAGGTTTATTTATGTACAGCCACATGCAAATATTTTATATGATTTTCTTTAATTACAGGCAGAATTTGTGTGTAATTATTTGCCCAGTATAAAATGTACAATCAACAAAAGTCTAACATCTAGAAGATGTACTTTTAATGTGAGGATATGTTGTTAAACAATACACACAGAAAAAAATATACCTTAAAAACTAAAATAACCACTCCAATTTTCAAGATTTAATTGAATGTGGATATCAGAAAAAGAAATTAAGCTACAATCCAGCAAATCAACTGAAAACACTAAATATACTATGCTAAAAGATACTTAACATTATCAGTTTAAGAAATGAATTAATCAGTTTTTATTGAATCAGTTGCTAGGTCTACTACTAAGAAAGTTGGTTCACCTTGTTGTTCTTAACAATTTTTCTTGTCAGAATCTATCTTACACCTTTATAAGTCTACCATTCACCTATACATTTAATATTACTGTCACATCTTGTCTAATGCTTCTGTTATTTATCTAGAGATTCTTGACAAAATTCAAAGAATCTGCATTGTTATTGCTGTCACCTGGCATCTCAGCTTCAGTCACTTTCTGAGCACTGTAATAAATATTTTATTTTCAATAAATATTTTCATGATAATTGTTCTGATAAGCTCTCCTCTTTAGTACCTCGACTTCACAAATTTAAGCACATTACTTGATTGGCAGCTAGGTTTTATCATATTACAGTTAAACTTGCTAGAAGTAAACATAAGTTCTATGCTAACAGTTTCTTCTCTCTCCTCACTGGTGGAACCCTCTTCTGGCTTCTTGTTCGCCAGTCAACTTTGATCTTCAAAAATTTAAATACAATGTCAATCGCAATCTTCTGTCTCTTTGAATCCTGTTCTTTTATTGTCCTCTTTCTTTAATAATTTTTCTCAGATTCTTTCACTCTCAGTAAACCTTTGTGTCTTAGTGGTTTTATTTCACACATCAATTTGTTTCTAATATGCCGATATGCTCGATAAGAAATATATGCCTAAGTGTATGTATAGGTAGTGATAAGGTTAGCATCTTAGAAAGAAAAACTGGTGAGTTCAAATTCCCACCAAGTTCATTATGTTCACAAATACCCTTGGCATATGAATCCATCTCTCTCCCCAGCTATGGATTAAATAGCAAGGCTGACTGAGGTCATTTACTATGAGGTAGAAATCAGTTTAGAAAGAAATTGAATTCGAAACCATCCTGAAGAGGAATGGATTCTATCAGGCTATCATGCCCTAGACACATCAATGTCACTATAGCTGCAGTACATGTGGTGCCCCTATGATTCTAATGGGTTATGGGAGTCATGATGTGCCAAGATGCCTAAGTAGCAGCAAAAGGATTGAACTATAACATTTGAATGGAATTTAATATAACAAAATATGAAGTAATCCACAAATCTTGATAAATTAGGAAATTAGTTTAAAATGTTGTCATTAAATCAATAAGAATTTTCTTCTCAGTTTCCTTTTATGTAGCGTGAGTAAGAATTTAAAGTTTTCATTTCAAGTTGGTAAAATCATGCCATCTTCAGTTTTTTTTTGTTTTTTTAATTAAAATTAACTGGATATCTTTAACATGACATTTACTTAACTCTATACTAAAATGTCAAAACAAAGATGTAATGGTCATTTCCTAAGCATAGTTTAGATGTGGCACAAGGCCGAAAGTATGGGACCCCCAATGAGGATCGAATTCACTACTCAGTCATAATTTTCCTAGCAAGACTAGCCTGCTAACCATTACACTATGTCAAAGTTGCCATAAAAAAATCAACAGAGATGTAATGAATGTTAGAAGTGCTCAATACTGGAGGTTGAGTGTTTATAAATATAGACACAGAAATAAACACTGCATAGTGACTGTCAATTTCATTCTTATGATCTTCAATAGTTGTTGCTCTCTCTTTCTCTCTCTTACACATGCACATGTGAGTGCCAAAAAGTTCTCAGCCTGACCAATATCACATGACCATACATTGGATTTTTTCCAGGGAAACAGCTTATTACTTGGATCAAAAACATTTCATCATCCCTCCTCCATGTGTGTGTGTGTGTGTGTGTGCATAAAAAAGGACAACCAATATTAAATTTGTAATTACATTGGTTATATTTTCATCATAAGTAATCTAGGATTTTTAGCTTTCTGATTAACTATTGTCACATGTAATAAAGTATTCATTTTTAAAAGTAAAAAATATCTAAAGAAAACTACCACAAGGGAAAAGAAATAAGACAATATATTAGCAGTCTAAACTCTTCTAGTTACTTAGAGATATTCAGTTGTTTCTTCATTGTCAGTGAGTAATGCCTGTTATTATAACAACAGAATATCTCATTACAAAGAAGAGGAGATCAGGCTGCATGACTGATAAATATATAAAATCACATTGTGCTTCACATTATAGAATAAATATATAATTGGCAAGATTTATAATCAGAAGAAAACCCCCAAATAAAGATATTACAGATAATATCTTGACTTAATGTGTGAATGATGGATGTTTGATATAAAATAGGATGAAAAAGAAAACATTTCAAAGACTGTATCAGAAAGGAATAGACAGTGATTTCAGTTTCAGTCAGGCTAAAAAAAGGAAAATTGTAAGTTGGTATACCCACCATAAAGAACCATATCTTTTAGAGAAGAGCTCTCCAATGCCAATTTGGCTACTTTGGGAGCATGGATCTTTCTTAACCTTATCCTTTCAACTTCTATTTTATCCATTCGGCCAGAATGCTTGGATTCAAGCTGTTTCAGGGCAGCAGTAAATGATGAGTGTGATTTGTTCAAGCGTGTTTGGATTTGGGAAGCAATGCTTTTGGCAAGCCTGAAGAATAATAAAAGACATGAAAGAACAAAAGGTAGAATGGTATCATTTTAAGGACTAATTTTGGAAAAAGGTTTAATATTATATACAAATATATATATATATATATATATATATATAGTGTATTGGGGCAGCAAATCATTATTTAAATATACATTAAATATAACAGACAATGAATGTCAGTTATGTCTGATTATGACCCATTCTAATGTTTGAATGTTTGCTTTAATTTCTGGTGAAAATAAATACAAATTGTCCAACATTTGGATATTTTTTTATTAAGTTGGTCCTAAGCTTTCCATCCTCAGAGTGGTTATACAGACATGAAACAAAGATATCTTTGACGGTGGACTGAAAATTTATTTATTTAAAATATTTTTGTTTTACACACATTCCTATCTGTAATAAAAAAATTTTGACCTCGCATCTCGGTTTGAGTCATTGTCCCCACAGCCATAACATAGCTTCTCTGTTCCTTTTCTATAAATACTTTCATGGTAATTATTCTGATAAATTTTCCCCTAAGGTACCTAGACTTTATGAATTTAAGCATAGTACTAGTTTGGTGGCAAGTTCTCATCATTTTACAGTTGAAATAGTTAGATGTAAATATAAGTTCTATGCAAAACAGTTTTTTCTTGCATATGGAACTCTCTTCTGGATTCTTGCTTCCAAGTTAATGTTGATGATAAAAAATTGCAATGACAATCATTATCTTCTTAATTCCTGTTCTTTTATTGTTCTCTCTCCTTAATGGTATTTTTTTGTTCTCATTCTCTAACATTCGGTAACCCCTGTGCATTTTAGTGGCTTTATTGCCTTGCTTGGGGTGAAATGAAAAAAAAATTTAAATTAACATCTTTTTAGAGAAAAATAAGTAACAACTTTTAAAAAATGATATCTGCAAATAAATCCAATTTTATTCTTATATTGCCCAGAGTTATACCCCAGGATACTGTCTGCATATGCATGCAAAATAAGGTTTCCTCTGTCTGGCTTCTTTGTCGAAGGTCTGCATAAGTGATTCTCAACATATTTAGAAATGGCTGGATATGTTCAAGAAAGACTGTGTGTGTGTGTGTGTGTGTGTGTGTGTGCATATAGGGCACGATAGATAAATTGTCATCTAAATTATGCAAAAACGAAAATAACACTAATATCCCATTTTAACAGATATATTTACCAAAATTACACCAAAATATCTTTAGATACTAAAGAGTAAATTTATTCAATAAGATCACCATTGGCTTCAACCACAGCCTCCAGACAACTTCAGAATCTCTTGCAACTCTTCTGGATGATCTCCTTATTTAAGTTGGTAAATACTACTATAACCCTTGCCTTCAGTTCATCTTTCGTGTTACAAGGAATTTTGTTGGTATCTTCTTCAACTACGCCCCACATACAATAATCAAGGGGGTTGCAGTCTGCAGAGTTAGGTGTCAAATGTAAGGGGTGATGTGGTCACAGCAATTGTCCGACAATTATGACTAGGTTCTCCTGCTTGTGTGGCATGGTGCAGTGTCCTGTTGCCAGACATAGGGTCTTCCAGCAGTCACCCTCTTGACCCAAAGCAGCACTACCTCCTCAAAGCACTTGATGTAGACCTCCATGTTGAGTCCGAGTGCCTCACCAACAAATTCAGTTCTTTTCTTATCAGAACGATCAGAGTGAGTTTTCTTTTCTTATCAGAACGATCAGAGTGGGTTTTTCCGAACTACCAAATCACCATTAGACTCGTCCAACTCTTTCCAAATCTACTGCACTGTCCTCAGATTGATGCCCAAACACTCTAAAATGTTTGTACTGGAGCTTCTGGTGTGAATACCAAGCAGTACAGCATGCTGTTTCCAAATTTCTGGCAGAGTGAATTGTGTCATGGCAGTCTTTTTCTCACAGACGCTGCCCAAATGACCCTACTATACTGTGCAGTCAACAAAATTAAAAATATAAAATGGCGACAATTTACCCATCGCACGCTGTACATATTGATTTACTTATCTAAGTTAAACAACTCCCGTTCACATATTTGTGGAAAAAGGTAAACGCATTAACAACAATTTGTCACCTGGTCTCACATAAATTGCTTAACATGTCGATGGCAACCTTTCTCTTCCAGGCAAGGTCAACTCGTGGTGGTGTATTCCAAGGCATAGATAAAATTAACTGAAAGAAACAAAAGTATATCAGTTTAGGAATCATATTTTTAAGAAAAAAATGAGAAAGTTTTGCAAAGTTCTCGAACCAACCAAGAAGCCCTAAAACAGTTCTGATGTTAAGAAATCAGAATTAACGAAGGATTTGATATTAATATCTAATACAGCATAATATTATGGAAATGGTTTTGTCATTAATACCAAATGAAAGAAAATCATCCATAGAGTGTTGGGGATGTGCAGAATAAACTAAGAAATTTGCTGTAGCATTGAGTTAAATCAGAAGGAATTTTTTATGTTAGGTTGCGTGAACTTTTCTGCATCCACAAACAAATAAACAATTTCAATGTAAACAAGACAAAACATACACGCAATTCAAAATCGATAAATGCATTTATATACAAATACGATAATATGTACAGAATATATTTGAAGATGTTATTGTGTTGGTGTGCTTGTGATATCTGTAATGTCCTTTTTTATGTCTTGTGTATCTGTGTTACAGTCTTTTTAGGAAATTGTAATTAGTATTTAAAATGTTGGTATTATGTTTTTTAGAAATGAGTCATTACGAAGTAGTCTACCTTTGACTGCAAATGTTGAGTTCGTTCGATGATATTATTTACTTAGAATAGTAGTGAGTGTTAATTCACTTTAGATAAGTAAAGTTGTTTGGATAGAAGTTTCAGTGTTCACAGAGTTTATTTCGACTTTGGCTTGCGAGTGAGTCAGTTTGCGTGGCAAGATTGCAGTTGCAAGCGATGTGGATTATATTAGCATATCTCTGTGCTCGTTCGACTGACTGATTTATCATACATGGTCAAAGAGAATGTATAGTTTGAGATTCTTGAATGACGAAGAAGTTTGTAGAAGATATTGAACGGGAAAGATTTGTCGTCTCGATTAGCAAGACGGTAATTAGTAGTCGTCATATTTTTAAGCTTGAGTAAGCGGTCGAAAAATAGTCTGCCGCTGATCTGTCTGCGTCTGTGTAGTCACACTTGCTTTGGGTTCTTTTTAAGAGGTCATAATCATGTGGGTGTATCCAGAGCGATTTTGCACCAAAACTTCGAAGTGCACGTGCGGGCGACCTGATTGGTAGAAATGAACCAATCAGATTTATAAATGATAGTTGGAATAGTGCATTACTCGAAGAAGGTAAGATTGGGCTAATAGACGAGCCCAATAACAGTGAACAGATAACCATAGTATACAAACTGAACAACAACATTAAAAGAATTATCAGTAAAATCCCATCATTCCTCATAAGAGCTTTGAAAATCTGCAGCATTTTTGTAAGACAACACAGAACAGGGTGGTTTGAAGAAGAAATGATAAGAGAGATTTATTTTGTGATGTCAACAAACACTCGTTCCCAATTTTGTAATGTCAGCAAATACTCGTTGTCACTTTCGTATTGCTCATTGTAGTAGAGACTGAATAATACTGGTGTCAGATGCCTTTGAATAACACTCACACTAATAGTACTTGCTTGATAATATTCGCTCAAATAGTAACCACCAATTAATGATCCGAATAGTAATTCATATAGTGATCACTTAGATGCCATGCTAATTCCCATATATACATTTCCTTTACCATCACGTGATCTACTTATTCAAAATGGGATCGCCTGTGTTTGCTCTCTGGTGATCTGTGTTCAAACTCTAGTGTTGGCAGTGACACTTTATTCCTATATAACAATTTACAAAGTGAATGAAGATGAGAAATCACACTGATTTGCAGTGTGCCTTTAAGTCAAAACAGCTTTGATGATGTTATTTGGTTAGATTTTGGGCAGTGGGCCAGGTCAAGAATTTTTTAGCACCCTCTTATAAGTTTTGTACTTCAAAAAGAGCAAAAATTAACATTCTATGATGAAGCAATATCATTATTCTAGGAATTATTTAATTCAGTATCCTCATCCTGTTTGCATTAACTTCTATATTGTGGGACAATAAATAAGACTAAAGAACATAGTAATTGAAATTTTATAATAAAAACAGGAGAAGGATTCTAAATTTAAACTTGTCAGAGAATAGAAAAAGTGTTTTATAAGTGTATTTGTTTTTAACTGCTCTTATCCCGAGAAAATAAGTGAAATGTTTTACCTGTTTCATCCTTTCAAGCAATAAACGCATGAATGATGAACTGGATTCAAAAGTAATTTCCACATGATAAGCAGCATTCAAAATCTAAAAATAAACAAAAGAAAATTAAATTCTGCTCTGTGCAAAAGACACATAAAAACAAGAAGATAATAACTTTACTATTGTAATTTTTATTTAAGAAATGTTCTTTATTAAAATTGAAATGAGAAATAATTTTTTTAGTTTTGAAAAATAAAGGAGTTTTAATTTCCAACAGTTATTTCTTTTTCATATAAAACAGAATAGAAAAAATAATGAGTTTTCAAATCACATTTTTTTTTCACCTCAGAACTTATTAGCCTTTCAGAACTATAAAGAATTTGCCAAAATTCAGCCTTTCAGCATCAAACGAATTTGTATTTGGTTTTCTGTTTTTTAGCCTTTGATATTTGACAAAGGTTGTCTTTTTGAAAAACTACATGACCACAGAAATTCATCCTTCACTTTTTAAAAAAATAAATATGAATACACATTTTATCATTTTTGTTTTAACTCAAGAACAATTTTCAATCAGAAAGAATGTGTTCAACATCAACTTGTAATATTTTAAACTGAATGGGGAAAAATAAAACATGCACAGTTTACAAACCCATACACAAGAATGCACATAATTTTCATACAGAGCAATGCAAATAAAATTTTCTTTTTTTCCCTCCAGTAAAAATGTCCAATAAAGTAATGCCATGAAAGAAAATGTTATCAAATTAATTAGGCTCTGCAATATAAGAGAACAATGTAAATAAGAATATGGACAAGAATTATAGAAGTTATGGGAGAAAATTAAATTACAGAATGTTATTAAAGTAAAAAAAAAAAACAAGATAAAAAAAAAGTAATTTTATAGAAAATCTAAAAAGGTATTATCACATTTGTTTTTTTTTAAATAGTTCATTGCAAAAAGTGGAATGAATGAGCAGATCCCAAATTCCGGTCTAGTTTGTGGCATTCACTCTTCACATTAATGCCCTTTGGAAAGCTATGAATCCATTTCTTCTCTCAAGCCATGGGTTAAATAGCAGGGTAGACTGAGATTTCTAGTTTTGCTTAGCACCCAGTCTAGGAGAAGCTCTCCTCCTAATTAAAAAACATTGAAATGGGAAACCAATCCACTATCTTTCTCTGGAAGTTATGTTAATTCACAGATAATAAAGAAAAGGAACGTATCAAGAGCTAGGATAGCCTAAATTCTGAAGAGAGATGGCATTCAAAAAAGAAAATAAAACTCCATAAATTAAGTGTTGTGTCAAAGATATTTAAAAGTTTAAAACTATTTACAGCCATGAAACAAAATTGTCGATTTTGGTTCAAGTAATTTTTATTTATTTTTTTTAAGCATTACACTCCAAGCAAAGCAGGATGCCACTAGCACACAAGGGGTTACAGAGTGTGGGAGTAAAAGTAAAGATGCGTGATAGAGGAAAGTATAAAGAGAAGGACAGGGAATAGATCAAGGCATCTGGAGATGTTGATTGACATTGCATTTGAATAGTTGGAGATTATAGCTATCAAGGAAGCAAGTAAGAGGAAAGGAGTTCCACAGACGGGAAGTGTGAGACATGAAGCTATTGAAGTAAAAGAGACTTTTACATTTAACCGTTTCGACATTGAAAGCGACACGTCTGTGAGAGAGTGACTGTAAACAAGATGCCAGATCAGGACCGATCACATTGCATATCCGTCTCTGGATTTATTCTAATAACTGTGTAATACCCATAAAAAATAGCAGTATTTTTATTTATGAATCTGCTAATAAGAATTGGCAATTTGTCTCACTCCCTGGACTTCTGTTACGGTCCAGTGTTGTTGGCTCCAATCTAATAAGGAATGACTAAAAAAAACGTATTCCTTTCCATATAGACAAGTCATACAAATGCATGTTGGGATTTCATCATAGCCAATAAGATAGGACACTTCTCAGTCTCATTTGGCATATTTTTATTATTTCTTGTCTTGAAGTCAAAATGCTACAATCACTTGTCTGTATCACTTTTGTGTGTAAACACCATTCTTTCTTTGTGAACTTTCGTTTCAATACTGTTACTTTGCCTTTTTTTTGTCTTGCATATATTGTTTTCTTGGTATTATTTTTACCCTGTTCATTTCTTTCTTTTATTATTGCTTATTTTTTTTTAAGCAATTCACCCAAAGCAAGGTGGGAGTGCCACTAATATGCAAGGGGGTACAGTGAGTGTAAGTAAGGGAAAACATTGGGCATGGGGGGGGATAAAATGAAGAACAGAGGAGGATAAAAAGAAGAACAGAGATAAAGGCAGCAGAAGATGTCAACTGACATGACATTTAAATTTTTGAAGATTATATTTATTAGGGAAGCAAGAAAGAGGAACCGAGTTCCACTGTCGGGAAATGTGAAAGAAGAAGCCGTTGGAGTAGAAGAGGTGGTTACATTTAACTGCTTCAACAGTAAAAGGGTGGAACCAAGATGCCAACCTAGTAGCGCATTTAAATACATACAGTCAAGGCATCAGTGAAAATAGCTCATCAGAGCAGATACCATGAAAATATTTATAGAAAAGACAGAGTGAAGCCACATTATGTCAGCGAGAAAGTGACTGGAGTTGAGTCCCCAAGTCAGAACTGAACACATTGCATATCCGTCTTTAGATTTTGTCGAGAACCTCGAGATGAACAGTGAGGGCAGCAGACCATCTATGGCAGCAGTATTTCATGCATGGGCAAATGGGAGATTTGTAGATGTGTAGGATGGACTCAGATGAGAAAAACCTGGAGCGACACAGAGAACAAAATTTCCTTGTGGTAGATGCAGCAATTGATTCAATGTTGTTGTTCCACCTCAGGTCAGTGGAAAACATGAAATCAAGATGGCACAGTGAGACTCTCCCGTGGAGATGAGCATCAACCATGCTGATAGGAGGCAGGAATGATTCTCTATGGTGAGTAAATGACAGCAGTTTTGTTTTGGATGCATTAAAATTCACAAGCCATTTCCTGCCCCAGTCAACCACAGATTGGAGGTCGTTAAACTTTGTCAATTGTGTTTGTTTAGGCATTTCTGCAAATTACATTTAACCATAGCCAATTACTCTACAAGTGTAGTATATGTGAATTGTCTTTAGTATTTCTATGTTAATTTTACTATACTGTTCAAGCAGCAGAACACTGGTATATTTGATATGTCACTTGCCTGCTTACCACAAGGTTGGTTGTTCAAACCTGGGCAGGATTCACTTGTTAATTTCACATATCTCTTTGCCTTAACATGACAGAAGTCATGACAAAGAAACATACAGAAAACTTACTGTATTCATTATTATCTAGGACTTTTCTACTTAATACATTATTATTAAAAATATTAAAAAAGAAGACAAAAGAAAGAAGCCTTTATATGCAGCTGAGATGTAGTTATTGACTAAGCTTTCTGACTTTATCATGTAATTCACAGTTCCTTTTAAGAAAAATGTCAATTGGGCTTGTGAAAAAATAAAGATGTATAGGAATGAATGCTTAAGATATGACTGCCAATGTGTTTATTAATGTTTTATGATCAACTTTATTATAACTGAATATCCATGCAATATATACATCAGAAAAGAGTAAATATATAAAGAGGCTCTGAGTATGGATCTGGAATCCTTATATTGTGATGGAAAAGGAACAAAGCTTGGTGATGTAGTGAGGTATAGCTGGGATTTGTGTTGGTGTTTCAGCTTTGAAACCATGTCTAACCTCAGAGATCTGATGAAAGCTTTTTTGAAGTTGCTGGTGCTTTCACAACAGTAGTTGTATGACATACACACCTGATCAAAAGTTTAAGACCACTTGAAAATTTTTTTAAAAAGACTTTGTCATGGAAAAATTTTAAACATTTCTTACTTAAGGTTACTAATTTTATAATCTAAAAGGTTATGTAGACAAAAAGTTATAATCCAATCAATTTATTCAGAATGACCATTTTTATAAAATGAGGCATTGTACACTTGATCAAAATTATAAGACCAGGTTGTATAAATTGTTAGATCTAGGATAATTCTAATGTTTTTAGTTCAGTTAGAGATTAGCAATCACTGTGTAAAGGTGTCACCATGCCTAAAGCAAGCAAACTTACCAAAGTTCAGCAAGTTCGAATTCTAACTTTCCATAATCAAGGTTTGTCACAGTGGTCGATTGCAGCTAAGGTAAATCACAGTAAAAATGATTTGCAACTTTCTAAAGGACTGTGAGAATTATGGAAACGCAAAGTCTACTGGTAGGCCTAAAAAAATTGCTCTGGCATAGAGCAGGAGAATAAGACGGGTTGTTGTGAAAGCCAGTGAACTTTCTTCTAGTTAAATTAAGGCAGCTACAGATGCTGATTGCAGTCCAGGAACCATCAGATGATACTTACGACAAAAAGGCAGGGTAAATAAAAAGCGCAAACAAATTCCTCGGCTGCTTCCACGTCACAAAGTGAACCGTTTAAGGTTTGGTCATGAATACCAAACATGAGACATTGAGAATTGGAAGAAAGTCATGTTTTCTGATGAGAAAAAATTCAATCTAGATGGCCCTGATGGCTTCCAACGATATTGGCATAACAAAAACATGCCTCCTGAAATTTTCTCCACACGTCATAGTGGTGGAGTGTCCCCTAATGGTATGGGGTGCCTTTTCTTACAGAGGGATGATGGAGCTCCAGGTGGTGCAGCATTGTCAGACAGCGGCTGGTTATGTGAGCATGCTACAAAAAGGGAGGTTCATCGTTTGTGTGGGGATGGATGGTTATTCCAACAATATAATACTGAAATCCACGCTGTATGCTGGGCGTTGACCTTTCTACAAGAAAATGGGGTCCATCTCTTGAGACATCCTGCATGCTCACTGGACTTGAACTCAATTGAAAATGTTTGGGGATGGATGGCAAGAGATGTTTATCAAAATGGCAAACAATATTCAACAAAAAATGAACTTCATGAAGCTATCTTCAGAAGCTGGAGCAATATTCCCCGCAGCTTAATGGAAACACTAATTTCTAGCATGTCCCCCAAAATTTTTGAAGTCATCAAAACCAGTGGAGGTAGAACTCATTATTAAATTTGGTTGTTGAATGTTTTCGTACACTTTTCATACAATTTCTTAGAATTTTTGTCTCTTGTCTTATAATTTTGATCAAGTGTAAAACGCCTCATTTTATAAAAATGGCCATTTCTCAATAAAATGTTCAGATTATAACTTTTTGTCTACATAACCTTTTAGATTATAAAATTAGTAACCTTAAGTAAGAAATGTTTAAAACTTTTCCATGAAAAACAGTCTTTTTAAAAAATTTTTCAAGTGGTCTTAAATATTTGATCAGGAGTGTATAAAAAATGTTTGGAGAAATAATGTTCTGTTCATCAGACTTACTTGTTTTAAGGCATCTGTAGTTTTAGCACCATCTATAAATTCAGCCTCACAAGCTTCCAGATTTTCTAAAGTCCTGGTTAGTGTCCCTGAAAGATCAAAATGAAAAAGACATCATTTCAATAAACTCGGATGGTGCTGAAAAAGTTGTCTACAAAAAATTTAAAAAAAAAAAAAAAAAATGTCTAACTATTTACTGGAGGTTCTCATTTGAATTGAAAAATACATATATTAAAAGATAATGGTGTAATATATATTCTTTGAATGCTCTGAGATGAGTCATCTGTGATGTCTTTCTGCTAGATAACCCCCGATTGTGTTAAATACAAACTCTCATTGCAAATGCTATAAATTTTTCGAACTTGCTTATTTAATTTTTTTTTTTTTTCACTTTTCATTGTTTTTTTTTTTTGTTTTTTTAGGTGTTTAGCCATTAGTCAAGGAAATTCTTCCATGCAAGTATATTACTCCATGAGTTTATTTATTCTGGTTTCTTGAAACGTTATTTGGAATTATTTGCCTTCTATAGTCTGGTAAGTTATTTGTCATCTTTTCCCTCCTTTTTTATTTCCCTAATTTTAGTTATTCTTTTATAGTTGATACTAAAATACTTTTTGTTCATAGTGTAATTGCTAAAAATGAAAAAAATTAAACTTATTTTTTAATATATATATATATATATATATATATATATATATATATATATATATATATATTACATTTTTTCTGTTTGGTGGGAGTCAGCGAGTGCAAAAATTGTCCATTTTCTCAAGCACATTTGGCCACTTCTTCAGCTATTTTCAAGGGGATTTGTTTTAGGCGTTGTTAATTTATCTAAACCCACCTCTTGAAAATGGCTAAAGAAGTGGACTAAAGTGCTTGGTATAATGCACAATATGGACAATTTTTGCACTCCCACCAAAAAATGAAAGAACACTGGAAAAAGTAAATAAAAAATTAATTAAATTTTCTTATTCAATGAAAGATGTTTAAAAGAAAGGTTGCAGCCCAAATATACAACATACATACATATATATATATATATATATATATATATATATATATATATATATATATATGTATGTATATATATATATATATATATATATATATATACACAGAAATGAAGGATAGTATATGAATAAATAAAAGGTATAAAAGTTTATTTTTTTAAATTTTATTGGTTTTTTGAAATAGTAAAATACTCATAACAACATTTGCAGAATATTGCATATTAAAATTGAGGAAAAAAGTTTATATCTGACCATGACTTAAAAATGATTTTAGAAAAGTAATTTTTGAGTTCCTAACAAAAAGGCAGGTGTTATAATTTTAATGACATGAAGATAATTTAACCTTTTTAACACATAAGTAACTTGGGGCAAGTTAAAGAATTTTATAGATGCATTTGTTTATGCTTATGCCTATATATTTACGTTTTTAGATGCATTTTAAACAGGTACAATTGCAATATTTGCAATAATGACCAACCTGCACAAATATATGAGAAGAAATGTCAGAGAAGAGAAGGTTAAGAATCACTAGTGTTGAGTATTTAGTTATAACTGAGCCACAAAACCAATCAGAAATTTGATGCTAATTAACATTTTTATTTTTTTAGTTTCTCATGGATTTATCTAAAATTGAGTAATTTCTTCAAGATATCCACTAAGAAATTTTTTAAGACTTTGTGTAATACTATGGACATGAACGTGGAAGGGGAAAAGACGATTTTGTCTCAAACTCAAGCTTCACAGACCAAAGGATGGTTTGTTTTGAAGTTTGGCCTTTTAAGAAGTATCCACTTTAACCAAAGTGAAATGGATAGTAATGGAGTGAACGTTGGATTTTTGGAGATCAAGTGGCAACAAAACGGGAAATAGGGTATATCCAGTTGCTGGTCTATATTAACAGTAATGCTTGGGATTAAAAAGAGTTCTAATCTGCCCTTGGTAGGAGACAGATGTGACAGTTGCACAATTCCAAAGTCTCTATTTGTATTGCCAAGCCACCACATCAGGATGAGTAGATGAGCAAGAAGTTTGTAGGGGGAAGAGCTGAGCTGTTAGACCAACATAGCAGAAGTTGTCCCAGATATCACCAACTTACCCACTTGGACGAGCAGGCAAAGCCCTAAACATCTATACAATTACAAGTTCAAAATGAAAATTTCCAAATTCAAAACGTGAAAATCCAAAGTCAAAATGAGAAAACCCAAATTTAACACAAGAATAGTGTTTATTGTTATAACCTTAAAAGTTTAATACTCACCATTGTTCAAATTTGACACTGATGGAGGTATTTTTTGGATTTTTGCTATGGCTTGATTGCATAGCATTGGAGTTATTTCCTTTAAGGAATCTTCAATGATGATTTCCGGTATGTCCAATTAAAAATCCTTTTTCACTGTCCCTGATGGAATTTCTGCATTGAGGATCTCACCCATATTTTCAGCCAATTTTCTTTTGATGAATGCCTTCATAATTGACCAAACGTTTTCTATCAGACTGGCTGTATGCTGTCATTCGATAAAAATGATTGCGCTCAAATTCTGGATTGCATAAAACTCACTCAATGTTGGACTGGCAAAGAGCATTGTCAATGACAATAACTGTTGGTTCCTGATAGATTTTATAGGCCTTCCACAAGCATTTCTTTATCCAATTTCCAGCCAATTCCTTACTGTAGAAATCTCAGTAAATTTCATGATATATTAGCCCCTTGGTACCAATGCATCCAGTTAGACAAATATTTGCACCCTGAGAAGCCACTGAAAATCTATTGCATCTTTCTCCTCTCAATGATTGACCTTGAGTTCTTGTAATATGCAGGTTGAAATTTGTTGCATCCATGATTAGGATGGGGGAATTGTCAGCTTGATAAAGCCAACAATCTTTTGGCAAATTCCTTTCTCTTTTTCTTATTGATGCTACTATTCCCCATTTCAGGCTCAAATTAGATCTTTGAAAGTGTACATTAAACCATTCAGGTGCTGGCAAATACATTCACTTGATACAGAAATATCGTACTTTTGAATTTCTTCTGCAAGCTGAGCACAGGTGATTCTTGGGTTCTGCTCAATCTGATCAACCAAAAATTGTCACTGGGTCACAGAAATATAGCCTCCTCTTGTATCTACTTTATAACCTTCCTTTATCCATCTATATGCAAGGGATACTTCTATTCCCAAACATCTTGCTGAGGATTTTCAGTCTCCATCATTTTTATAGACTGCCAAAAATTGCCTTTTCTTTTCATGGGCTCTGGGTTTTCTTATGGATATCTTTTGTGTCATGGTTATTAGGTAATGAATTGAATGAGTATAGTTTTTCAGTTGGCAATGTATTACTTGACTATAAAGAGTCGTGTTGAACAACTTTGAAACATCTTGATTAAAATTTAAACATGAAGTTTTTATATATATACATATATATGTGTGTGTGTGTGTGTCATTGTGCACAAGTGAATGCTATTCACTAAAAAAAAAAAAAAAAAAAAAAAAAAAAAATAAATAAATAAATAAATATAGTAACCAGGTGGATCAAACCCAATTTATTTAGAAGTTGCAAAATATCAATTGCTAAGACAGAATGTACAGAAAAAATGAATAGTGAATGCTTATTATTAGTGTACAGTTGTGATTTGAATTTGCATCTTTCTTATATCATGTTTACTTTGGAAATTCTTATTTTGAACTGATAATGGTATAGATATGATATGGGAAACAGGGTTTATGTCTTTATTTCACAATTTGTCTTTCATCTTCTGAACATGTAGCTTTTCCCAGCTTATGGTGAACAGACGAGATCAAGAATTGGAATTGAAACCTCATCCAAGTTTTCCACCAGTCAATGGACAAGGTTCGCATTTTATGTTTACATTTGCACTTATGATTGGATACATTCTTTCTCCTCCGTTTTTATGTTTTTTATGATCGCCTCCCATTTTAATATTTATATAACACCTTTAATTTAACCAATTCATGCCAATCATAAAATTTAGTATTAATTCTAAAAATCAAAATTAAAATATGGTATTATAGTTTACTAATAAAAAAATCAGATTAATTATAGGGTTCTATCTATCATCTGGTAAGGTGGAGTAATGGATAGCAGCTTAAATTGAGGAATCAGATAGCCAAGTTCGAATTCCAGTCAAGTCCGTTACATTCACTTACATGCAAATACCCTTGGAAAATGGTATGAATCCATCTCTTCTCTCCCTGCCAGCAATGGGTAAATAGCAGGACAGACTGAGTCCTATAGCACTGGGTGACAACCGGTCCAGAAGAAGGACAACTTTGAATTCAAAACCTCCAACTACGGGTTAAATATCTCACTAACCATCAATTGGCCAAGCATGGTGAGTATGGCTACACACATGAAGATAAGGTCAGTCAGGGTGGGATTCCTCAAGGAAGTGATATGGATCTGTTCTAATGAGCTTTCCTACCGGTACCTTTTTTTCTTTTTTTTTTGTACTTATCATCTATTAATGCCTACCAACCCATTTCTGTAACAAATGAAATTCTTACCAATTTGGTTTTAATTCCTGTAATGATCGCTAATGGAACAAAATAAGAATGGTAATTTAAAAATAAGACTCAATATATCATAAGCATTTTCTTTTCTATACAATTTTCTATAAAAATTTCTCACCATTTTGTAGAAATTTGAAAAATCTTTTCTACTCAGTTTAAAAAACAAGAGTATACCTACTTTGTCATGTCATTTTGATGAATGTAAAAGACAATGAAATCCTTGAAAAAGAAGTGCAAAATTAGGAGATGATAAATAAGATACCACGGATAAAATTCCTGCAGATGTAATCTCAAGTGGTACAAATATATTCAATATTTTAGGTATACCCAATAAATTGTCTCTAAATTTATTTTTGTCTGTGGAAAGACAATATAGACTTGTGCCAAAGCTTAGTAACTAAACTATAAAAAAATCAATTTATATAATTATATATATATATATATATATATATATATATATATATATACACACACACAAAATTCTAAAATATATCCTATAAGATAAAGAGCTTTAAAATATAAAATAAACCAATGGCTCAATGCCTACTAGCAGAGCTTAAATATAATACCGGTTATATATCATAATATCAGTTATATATATTATTTTTTTAAATCAAGTTCACCCCAGGCAAGGCAGTAAAGCCACTAAAAAAGTTTTTATTAGATGTGGGAGAATTAGAAAACAGAAACATTACTTAGAAGCAGGAACAAAAGAAAAAATGAGGATAACAGATAGTGATCATCATTGCATTTAAATTTTTAAAGATTAGAGTTGACTGGAAAGCATGGATCTGGAGGGGATTTCCACAAGTGAGAAGTGTGAGAACCAAAGCTGTTACCATAGAACTTATGGTTACATCTAGCCAATTTTACTGTAAATCTAAGAAATAGCACACAATGAGCACTGGCAGTAATCATAAGATATTGCTTGATGCAAAATAACAGTAGAAATTTATACTAAAAATAAATATACATTTGTTCCTCACTGCAATTCAAGTCACTTGATGATCACAGTAGTATAACACCAGCGTCATGTTACTGAGTAGCATAATTGCTCTGTCTTGGTCATTTAGACATTGAGCAGTGTCTGTTATTGTCTTTTGGTCTTTTCTTCTAAGTTTGTTTCTTTGTTGGCTTTTCTCTTGTTTTTTTTTTATTTATTGTTTTTCTTTTCTTTTGTCACTTGGCAGGTTTTGTTTGATCTTACCAATACTTTGGTTTGTTATACAGTGTAACCCGGATATAAGAGAAACCCGGATATAAGAGACTTCTTCTCCGGTCCCAACAATTTTCTTATATCTGGGTTACACTGTATATAAATGTCAAACCTGAAGATTGCGTTCAAGCATGAAACAGACGATCATCACTCGGTGTTTGAAATAGATGCCCCCTTTTTTTTTATTTTAAACAGAGTCTACTAGTTTGCACACTTGAGAAAACTTAATAAACAAAAGATGCTCTCTAACAAGTTTTGAACCTGTGTCCCTCTTTGGAATAAAAACCACTATTTGGTCCGGCATGCTTTACATTGCTCAGCCACATAAAACATCACACTTGATGTACATTCATCCTTTGGATTAACCATTTAGAATCATTTCAAAACAAAGAACAAATAAATTTTTTAAAAATAATCCCAAATGTTTTACAGACTATACAAAATATGACTGTAAATGTTTGCAATTTTTAATGTGAATCATGCACAATTAGTTGATGACTGACATCAGGTTTTATTAACTGCTTTTAACACCTGAGGCTAAAAAAAAATAATATGCATAAGAATTTTACCTGTATAGAGTTCTTTGAGAACATTAACAGAATTAATTAATTTATCTGCAATTGCAATGTTTAGTTCTCTCAGCACTAAGTTTTGGATTTGACTTGTACACAATTTCACATCAGAAGCAGTTTTCAGTTCTTCCTCTTCAGTCAGCTCCACCCCTGGCAAAAGAAAAAGTCAACACAAATACATCAGTTCCTGGAATTTGTCATTGTAAAATGAAAATATTGGAAATCATATCAACATATATTGCCAATTGTTATAATGTCGACCATGAAAAAAATTATTGAAGAGATAAAGTTAATATTGAATTAGTGAGTATTATAATAAAAGTATTAAAGTCACCATTGTATCCTGGTCAGACCAGTAAATCTATCTATATATAAAATTCTGTGACTTCAGTCTGTCACATCCTCTAAAATAGCCATACATAGACTGATTGAAACCAAATTGTGCAGTGCAAACAGCTAAAGGGGGTACAAAGTACAGTTGGTTAAACTAGGGTATGTAGCTTAATACAGTAAATTTTCATTCATTTTTTTTATTTTTTAGAAAAATTAAATTTTTTATTATTCAACATACAAAATACTCCCACTATTTTAAATACAATTTAATGATTAAAATAAAAAATACTTATTTAATAAAAATGCAATATTGTTTTTGCATATCTTTTGTAAATCTTGACGAAAAACTGTTAGCTATATTTTCAACAATAATAAATACTGTGAGGATTTTAACATGTATCAGTGTTTTGCAAAAAAAATTCTAGTATAACAAAATACCTTGAGAAGTTCAGTGTGAGTGACTAGATTTTATTATTTTCATTTGTGATAATCAATGACATGTACATAATCAGTAAGTATTATATTATTTTATTGGGTTTCAAGTTATAGTTGTGCCATCTAGTAATGCAGATAATGAGAAGACAGGTTTAAACCCTCAGAAGAATTATTATTTTCAGTTGTAGTAGATGATAGAGAAAGTAACAGAGACCCAAAGCTGAATTAAAACAGCAAAAGCTGCCTTCCAGAAACTAAAAGTATTAATAAATAGAAAAACTTTGATAGAAATCTAAAAAGTGCTGAACGACTATAATATCAATCTTGCTATATGTCAGTGAATGCAGGACAATTTTCTCAAAGCTTTAAGAATTTAACACCCACAGGATATGTTAATGGTAAGAGGGATAGAGGAGGGAAAAAGTGTTTAACCAACCTAGCAAGTTTGCAGGAATGGATGGTAGAGTGGAACAAGAAGACATACTAAAGAATCAAACACTGCTTAAAGCTACAAAAGAGAGAAGTTGTGGAGATCCATGATCACATGAAGGGACATGGCACATAATAGAAGTTACGTTAATCCTAAAAACAGTTTGTCACAAGAGTAGAGTTCACTTGCAATCTTGATATCAGCATTGTCAAAGAAAATCTTTTAATTGTATGTTGCATGCGTATATTTATCTCAGAAAGACATTCAGGTATGTTTCTTACTTTGGCTAAATGAGAATATGCCTTCCTTTACAAGGAATCTCAGGAAGTGAAAAAAACATTTTTATGAAGGTCTCATAGTGGAGACAAAAATTAAGATATATCAAAATGTTGATCTAATAACTGTTAAAATTCATTCCTTTCATTTCCTAAATGTCAGATATGAATCAGAAATAAGTGTAATTATTCTTCAATGTGCCATATCCCTTCTTGTCCATGGTATGTCTTTAATAAATTTGTCTTTTTGTTATCACTGTTCTGACAACTATTTACATAATCTCATTAGGTATGTTATGCACTAAGTATTAAATAAGTTTGTTTTGGACTAACACAAAGAAATATAGTTCCTTCACCCAAAGTGCAAGAGAAGAAACTTAGCATAGAACTTATGGTTAAATCTAGCCAATTCAACAGTAAGATGATGAGACCTAGCTGCCAATCTAGTCATCTTCAGGATGTGGATCATAGCACACCACAATTTCCTGTACTTTATAGCTCTTAGTAAGTTTTTTTTTTTTTTTTTTTTCTATCTCTCCTAATCCCTGTTCTGCCAACAATTTACATAGGAAAGCAGCAAATAACCTACCCAATGAGCCTGTCTTTATTGCCTTCAGTATGCCCTGTGAATGTCAAATTCTCCAAGCACACTTTCCTCATTATGTGACCTAGAAATTTTAATTATCTCTTTCTGATTCTAAGTGCCTCTATTTTCCTTAAAACTTCCTTGTTACTCATATGTTCAGTTCATAGAATATTCAGCATCCTTCTCTAGAACCACATTTCTAGTGGCTCAAGTTTCTTCATCTGTGAGGAGATTATCTTGTATTCATTGCCAATCTAGTACTGTGCTTAAATTCAAGAAGTTAAGACACCAAAGAAGAAAGCTCATTAGAATAATTACTATGAAAATATTTATAAAAAAGGCATGGCAGTTGGAAAGTGATTGAACCTGAGATGCCAGGTTAGGACTGATATCATTGGAGATTCTTTTAATTTTGTCAAGAATCACTAGATAGCAGAAAATTTTTCATGTTCTGTCATCATTGCTAGGTTGGTGAGGTTTATTATTCTTTTAAAACTAAAATTTTCCTAAAAGTGACTTTAAATGTAACAGACTATGATAGCAAGATAGTAAAACAAAATTTCAGATCAACACAACAAAAATTTTTTAAAAAGAGTCAGATATAAAGTATCCCTGAAGAGAAGCAAAAATAAGTTAAAATGTAGTTATGAAAAGAAATGAGATATGACACATGGCACAGTGGATAAAGGCGTTGGTTAGATCCGGTGACAAGACCCAAAGAGTGTGGGTTCAATACCCAGTTAAGGCAGTGGAGAACTTGGAGAGGGGAATTAACAGGAGATAACTGACATCCATTAAAACATGGTACATGGAACTAGAACAGACTACCCCAGTGAGCGAAATAAAAGGTTCAGTTCAACATTCCAACTACCTGGACTACTACAATGGCCGAAACGTAATAAAGATGAAGACAATAGTCCGAATAATGTAAATAGTGTACATAATACCTCATCTCAGAAATATAGACAAACCATGAGATAGTAACAATAACACTTTGTCAAACACCTCACCTAATTCCAGATGCACCTCTACATATCAAAATCCTTTGTTAGTACAATTAACAAGACTATCAATCACATGCTTTGGCATGTCACATAGCTTACAGCAGCTGGTATTCTCCAGTGGTCACCCATCTTAGTATTAACCAAGTTCAACACTGCTTAACTTCAGAGATAATAACTTAACTTCAACATAATACGACTGTAAGCTAACATTCAAAGAAAAACAATCCCAAATATCAATGTATATCTGTGAGGCAATGAAAAAGGATGAAAGTAAAAAATATTTTTAATTTCTGAAGTATGTAGAAATATGATCCTATTGAAAAGAAATGTTGAGAATACCATGGACAGAACACCCAAGTAATGAAAAAGGTTTAACGAAAACAGGAACTACAAGGAAACTGATTCTTACAATAAGAATAAGAGAGCTGAAATTTCTGGGGCACATAATGAGAAAAGAAGACCTGAAGAATTTAACACTCACAAGGCATACTGAAAGCAAAAGAAGCAAGGGAAAATGGCAAGTAATCTCAAGTTTTAGTGAATGGATGGTAGAACAAAAGTTACTTAGAGTGACAAATGACAGGAAGTTGTAGAGAGCTATGATGGCCAATATTCCAAAAGGACATGACACATGAAAAGAGATTATGAACAATTATTAATTTTTGACTAGTATTTCTGTCATCTTAATTTCAGTTTTCCTCTTATTAACATTAACCCCCCCAAAAATATAATAAATAATTCACAAACTTTGAAGTATTAGAAAACAAAAATAAAAGAAAATATATGGAGGTAAAAAAAAAAAAAAAACAACAAAAAAAAAACAAAAAAAACCCACAAATTTTCATATAAAAAATAAAATTTACTATCATAATAAATATAAAGTATTTTGCAGTGTTTGTGAAAAAAACCCTTAAAAATTTGATAAAATGTACAAATTATACTATTTCAAAAAACAAAAAAAGAATGAGGAAATAATATATATATATATATATATATATTTGGTTGGATATGTTAGCTCTATCTCTGATATTGAGCACTTTCTAATAAGTACCGTGCATATAATATATAAATAATTATACATATATATATATATATTTATTTATATACACTTTTCATATATATATATATATATATATATATATATATATATATATTAGCATTCTTTGAGCATCCCTTAAAACACTTGTCAGAAGCGAAAATTAATTTATTTTTTATCGATTTACAAGCAGTTCATGGTTAAATCTAGCCAATTTCAGATCAACACAACAAAAATTTTTTAAAAAGGGTCAGATATAAAGTATCCCTGAAGAGAAGCAAAAATAAGTTAAAATGTAGTTATGAAAAGAAATGAGATATGACACATGGCACAGTGGATAAAGGCGTTGGTTAGATCTGGTGACAAGACCCAAAGAGTGTGGGTTCAATACCCAGTTAAATTGATACCTGACTGTAAGTGAGGTTTATGTATAAAACAGACATGGTTTTTATTGGTTGGGGGGGGTTACAAAAAGTTTTCTTTTAAATAAAAAATAACCTGATAGGTACATTTTTAATTAAAGAACACAAAAATTTACATAAATAAATAAAAGCATGTATCTGTTTATTCTTCATTTAAGATAAATAATTATTAACTTAGTGCATGTGCTGCTGGTAAAAACAAAAAAAAAATAAAATAAAATACAGAAAAAGATTTTTTAAAAATCTTTTTAAAAAAGTTTTTAAAAAATTCAGAAAATTAAAGAAAAAAAAATGCAGATATCAATGATGCTACCATGCCTTTAAACTTGCCCCATTTGTAATTAACAAGCAAGTTCAATAATTCAGTAAAAGTCAGGGATCAATTTTATACTATATCAAGATTGTGAACAGAACTTTCCTTCTAAATTTAAAAAAAAAAAAAAAAAAAAAAAAGAAAGAAAAAAATCAGTACTTTTGATTCTTACACATCTCCAGCCTAAGGAAGGTCTAAAGTATGCTAATGTACAAAACTTGTTTCAAAAATACTTTCCATATTTTTTTTTTTATGAGTGGACCAGTATAAGTGCGTACGATTCAAACTATAGCAAAAATGATTAGAACATATATTAAAAATTATTAAAATACAATATCCCTACTGAGGAGAGACAAAATTAAAATAAAATTTAATTAACTTACAATTTATGGAAAAGTGCATTTTAAAGATCTATCTAATTATTAATCTGCAAAGTTCCAACTTTTAGGAATTTATGGTCATTAAGTTAGTAAAAATATTATATTTTTCAATTGACACACTTTCAAAAAGAATTTAACATTTCTGTTAAATATTTTTGCACAACTTGGTGTCTACTACTAGATTCATGGTTTTAGTATAAATAAGAGAAAGTAGTAGAGTCATAAAAATATTCTTTGTCAAGTCGATTTCCAGTGGCAGAAAATACCTTGTCTTCAAAAAGAAGGAACTTGAATGAAGATATTTTTTATAAAACTCCTCAATAGTTCTGGAATATAAAATTTTGCATTTGCACTTTCTTTCTTTGTTTCCTCTGCGGACATGTTGAATATTTCAAATCTTCAAACCATCTCTTATAAAGACATGAGAGAGAGAAGAGAAGAACAAGAGAGTGAAAGAGAGAAGAGAAGAACGAGAGAGTGAAAGAGAGAAGAGAAGAACGAGAGAGTGAAAGAGAGAAGAGAAGAACGAGAGAGAGAAGAAAGAGAGAGGGAGGAAGGAAGAGTGAGAGAGAGAGGAGAAGAACGAGAGAGTGAAGAAAGAGAGAGGGAGGAAGGAAGAGTGAGAGAGAGAGGAAGGAAGGAAGGAAGAGTGAGAGAGAGGAAGAGAGAGAGGAAGGAAGAGTGTGAGAGAGAGAGAGAGAGAGAGGGAAGAGAGAGAGAGAGGAAGGAAGAGAGAGAGAGAGGAAGGAAGAGAGAGAGAGAGAGGAAGAGAGAGAGAGGAAGGGAGGAAGAGAGAGAGAGAGAGAGAGAGAGAGAGGAAGGAAGAGAGAGGAAGGAAAGTGAGAGAGAGAGAGAGAGAGGAAGGAAGGAAAGGAGAGAGAGAGAAGGAAAGAGAGAGAGAGGAAGGAGAGGAGAGAGAGAGAGGAAGGAAAGGAGAGAGAGAGGAAGGAGAGGAGAGAGAGAGAGAGAGGAAGGAAAAGTGAGAGGAAGGAAAAGGAGAGAGAGAGAGAGAGAAGGAAGGAGAGAGAGAGAGGAAGGGAAGAGAGAGAGAGAGAGAAGGAAGAGAGAGAGAGAGAGGAAGGAAGAGGAGAGAGAGAGAGAGAGAGAGAGGAAGGAGAGAGAGAGAGAGAGGAAGGAAGAGGAGGGAAGGAAGAGGAGAGAGAGAGAATGAGGAAGGAAGAGGAGGAAGAGAGAGAGAGAGAGAAGGAAGAGGAGAGAGAGAGAGGAAGGAAGAGGAGAGAGAGAGAGAGAAGGAAGAGGAGAGAGAGAGAGAGAGAGGAAGAAAGAGAGAGAGAGAGAGAGAGAGAAAGGAAAGGAGAGAGGAAGGAAAGTGAGAGAGAGGAGGAAAGAGAGAGAGAGAGAGAGAAAGGAAGGAAGAGAGAGAGGAAGGAAAGAGAGAGAGAGAGAGAGAGGAAGGAAAGGAGAGAGAGAGAGAGGGAGGAAGAAAAGAGAGAGAGAGAGAGAGAAAGGAAAGTGAGAGAGAAAGGAAGGAAAGTGAGAGAGAGAGAAGGAGAGGAGGAGAGAGAGAGAGAGAGGAAGGAAGAGAGAGAGAAGAAAGGAGGAAGGAAGGAAAAGTGAGAGAGAGAGAGAGGAAGGAAGAGGAGAGAGAGAGAGAAGGAAGAGTGAGAGAGAGAGAGAGGAAGGAAGAGTGAGAGAGAGAGAGAGGAAGGAAGAGTGAGAGAGAGAGAGAGAGAGAGGAAGGAAGAGAGAGAGAGAGAGGAAGGAAGTGTGAGAGAGAGAGAGAGAGGAAGGAAGGAGAGAGAGAGAGAGAGGAAGGAAGGGGAGAGAGAGAGAGAGAGGAAGGAAGAGGGAGGGAAGAGAGAGAGAAGGAAGAGAGAGAGAAAGGGAAGGAAGAGAGAGAGAGAGGAAGGAAGGAAGAGAGAGAAAGGAAGGAAGAGAGAGAGAGAGGAAGGAGAGAGAGAGAGAGAGAGAGAGAGAGGAAGGGAGAGAGAGGAAGGAAAGGGAGAGAGAGAGAGGAAGGAGAGAGAGAGAGAGAGGAAGGAAGAGAGAGAGAGAGGAAGGAAGAGAGAGAAGGGAAGAGAGAGAGAGGAAGGAAAAGAGAGAGAGAGAGAGAAGGAAGAGGAGAGAGAGAGAGGAAGGAAGAGGAGAGAGAGAGGAAAGGAAGAGAGAGAGAGAGAGGAAGGAAGAGAGAGAGAGAAGGGAAGAGAGAGAGAGAGGAAGGAAGAGTGAGAGAGAGAGGAAGGAAGAGAGAGAGAGAGGAAGGAAGAGGAGAGAGAGAGAGAGGAAGGAAGGGGAGAGAGAGAGAGGAAGGAAGGAAGAGAGAGAGAGAGGAAGGGAAGAGAGAGAGAATGAGAGGAGAGAAGGAAGAAGAGAGAGAGAGAGGAAGGAAGAGAGAGAGAGAGGAAGGAAGAGAGAGAGTGAGAGGAAGGAAGAGTGAGAGAGAGAGGAAGGAAGAGTGAGAGTGAGAGGAAGGAAGAGTGAGAGTGAGAGGAAGGAAGAGTGAGAGTGAGAGGAAGGAAGAGTGAGAGTGAGAGGAAGGAAGAGTGAGAGTGAGAGGAAGGAAGAGGAGAGGAGAGGAAGGAAGAGGAGAGGAGAGGAAGGAAGAGTGAGAGAGAGAGGAAAGAAGAGTGAGAGAGAGAGGAAGGAAGAGTGAGACTGAGAGAGAGAGGAAGGAAGAGTGAGAGAGAGAGAAGAATGAAGAGTGTAAAAAAGAGAAAGGGAAGAGTGAGAGAAAAGAAAGAAGAGTGAGAAGAGAAAAAACGAAAAACTTTAATAAATCTTTACAATATTAACTCCAAGTACAAAAACAAAGTGAGACAAAAATAAAAAAGTAAACATACCAACAAATTGGTAATTGGTCATTTTTACATCAATGTCTTGCACAAGATTTGCAACAGTTTGCTGAATAACCTCCGTGATTTCATGCTGTTTTGAAGCAGCTAATTGCATCAACTCATTATAAAGTTCTGTCTCTTTCTTCTCAGCATACTCCAGTTTTTTGGGAGTTATCAACAACTCCCGTGTCATATCAAAAGCTGACACAATAAATGTTCCCAAACAACGAGAATGGACATTATATAGCATAGATGAAGCATTGACTAAATAACTTTTAAGCATGTTCTCTACAAAATGTAAAAGCGTTTGATCAAAGTCCTTTAAATCCTCGACAACACATGTCTCAACTTCAAAAAAGTTAGCAGAGAGATTCTTTGGGCGTTCCAAAAAGTCAGTATAACCAAGACTGTCTAGCTGGGTGAGGACACTTTCAATAGCTCCAGGTTGTAATTCTTGGTTGTTAGAATTTGTGTCCAGAGAATTTGACACTAAAGAGTTTGCTTCTCTGACACTGCATTCTGTTGGTGCACCATCAGGAGGATCATTATCAATTGGCTGCTGACCAGGAGGAGGTACACGGACAAAAAGGACCGCCTGGAGACTGGACAACTGTTGCAACAGGGTCAATTCTTCCACTTCCTGCAAAAAATTGAAAAGAATAAATAATAGAATGGATAAATTGATATAAAATAAAAGAACATCAAGCCGAAAAATAGGAGAGAGAGAGAGAGAGTGGGGATAGCCATAAGGGAATAAAAATCTGCTGAAATGGTAAATTCTTCAATAACAGGTAGTCCCAAAAAATAGTCTTTTTTTTTTTAGATTTACACATTTTAATATTCACTTAAGTCCTGTAGACTCCACTGAGAAGTATGGAGCCTTGCTGCTATGCTTTCTATAGCAAGTAAGTTTTTACAGGATGAAGCTGCTCGCCCAATACCCAACCGGCTTTGAATTTGGCATTGTTCTTCTCCTAGACTAGTTACCAACTAAGGCTGAGGGGAATTGTGCAAAAGTGAATGTAATAAATTTGACTGGAATTTGAACTTTGTTAGATACAAGTTTAACACAAAAAATCCTCAGATATATAGAATATTTAGACAACACTATGTCCAGAAAAAAAAAACACTTATATGAACACAAAAAAATTAAATAAAAAAGCAGTACCTTGTCAGTTGTCTTTACCAAAAGCATTAAATAATTATTATAACCAGTTTGTTGTCAAGTTTTTTGAATTCTCATATACTTGTATTTTGATTGGTCATTCAAGCTTATGTAACAGCATTTCCCCTAATGAGGTGTTTGACTGATTTGAACTTTCTAGAACCCTTTATTCTACATTCAACACCATCACTTGACAAGACACCAGAAGTGTTGAAACAAAATGGCTATTTTTGTAGTGATTTTATAATTTTTGAATAAAAATTTTTTTGTCTACTCTGTATTGAGATTTGTTGGTTATTGGAATTTATTCCATATACACCAATCTTATACTTGGAGATTTTATATATATATATATATATATATATATATATATATAGGATTACTACAAATATAAATTTTGTCACTTGCTGTTATAAACAGCACCAGACTCCAGAGTTTTGCAGATGAACCTTTTTGTAATCATTTGATCCACTCATCAGGAGATATCAACAATCTCACTGGTTGATTCACCTGTCAATTTTGGCATATGACGAAGTTCAGTCTTTAGAATTGAAGCACCAGGTTCCCCACACAGAATTTGAAGGTTAAGGCTTTTCTAGAAGCAGCAACATTTTTCCAAAGAACTGATATCAGAAATGATACACTGCGTGCCACAGTTTCCAAAAAGTCCTCCTTGGGTTTGAATTCGGAGTTGTCCCCCCTTCTAGAATGTTAAGAAACTCAATCAGCTTGTGCTACTTAACTCATAACTTGGAACTCGGCTTGGCTCCAGGCTAAGTAACAGTCTAACTCTCTGTTTTCGGGCGAAGAGGAACCCGGACTAGGCTCTGCTGAAGGGTGGAGTCTCGTTCGGGGTGGTTGACTGCCCCTGAACCCTTTTATGCAGGATCAAAGAGGGAATATTTTTGGCCGAGCCTACGGGCTCGGAAAACCCACATTAAACCCGGCCTTTTGCCATATGTAATCCTCGTGGGGGGGTAGCTAAATATCACTTAACTCATAACTAGAGGAAGAGACATAGATACTTACCTTTTCCAAAAGGATTTGTACAAAATTGAATGTAATGAACTTTGCTAGAATTCAAAAACAACTCAATGATTTCCCTTTCTGAGCCACACATCGTGTGTGTGTGTGTGTGTGTGCTATTACACACGAGAAGCTGAAATGTTCTTGGTCAACTCATTTCTCAAAATCTAAACAAGTAACTAAACAATTATTTTTTTAAGGGCTTTGGCTGGTCCCTAAAACTTTTCAGCAACTCCTTAGGTGAGTGCATGTGCATATATTTTTACATAAAATACATGGTTGATATTAACAGAATACATGTGAAATATATAATAATAAATAATTCTGATCCACTTGGAACATTCATTTCCAGAAAGGAGATTCAATGCTGAAACCTAGGAATGATAAAGCAAATATATTTGGATATTTTTTTATTTGTAATGTCTGTAACTTTTAATGTTGCCAGTGCACGAGAGATAATTAGAGTTATGTCCCTTGCCACCTTGCCATTCGGATTTCTGTTATGGTAAGATGTTACAAAAGCTGAGAGGTGAAAAGCGTTTTTGTGAAAGAGCAGAGTACAACAATAATTGGGAAAAATATGAAAACTCTTATAATAATAAGGTTTTCAAATATACTGTCATTTTTTCATGGCATTGGTCAACTAATATTAATACAAGATACTAGACAAAGTTATAGATTAGATTTTTACAATGACAACATTTTTTTTCTATTTTTTTTTTTTCAATTAATATTTTAAAACTTCTATTTCATAATCTAATAAGAATAATTTAACAATTTGTTTGGCTTCAGTAAACGACTATATTTAAGAAAATAAAAAAAAAAGAATCATTTTATCATTACTGCAACATAATACTAATATAATTGAAGATACTTTTTGTGCCCTTTTCTAGAAACACAATTAAGGATAAAAAGAAAAGAAAGAAAATAATTTCATTCAAGTTTCTGATTAAGGCTTTGTAAATTTTATATTTGCATATTGGTGTGAACCTACCACCCTTATCATGTTGTAGAGGACGGTGGGGTGGTGAAGATGAAAAGAAAACATTTATATTTCCTGCTAGAAGGTCCAGAACAAGAAAATGGCAGACTTGAATTAAGTTCAACTGAAGATAAAGAAGACAAACAATATATATATATATATATATATATATATATATATATATATATATATATATATATATATATATATATATATAGAGTAAATTCAAGGTGGGATCAAACCCTACCATGAATTCTACATTTTTATTTATCATCTATTTATTTGTTTATTTATCAGTGAAGATGAGACAAAGTGGAAAATTTTATTAACAATGCATTTTGCTGGAGAAGCATATGCTCTCTTTGGTGTCTTCAGGTTAGAAAAAAAACGAAACAACTCATCATCATCCCTTTTATTTTAGATACTATTACACATCCTACAAATACACATCCTGTCAACATGGAAAATTGCTTATCTAACTATCCCGATCCTTTCTATCTATTTTCATGACTAAAATTCCTAAGTGAAGAAAACAAAAATTTTGCTAATTAATTTTTCAGTTCGTCCAAACTGGACATCATTATAGCACACACACAGTCAAATGGTCCCTAAACTATTTTATCTGAGTGAAGTGTCTGATGTTTTTATGACCAGCAGTAAAGTTTACAGAGTAAGGACTTCAAAATATCCACTCATTGACCAAAAGGAAATAAATAAATATGTTTGGATAAAGTGCCACTTGACCAGAAGTTAGGGAGGTCTGTTCACAGACTAATATAAGCAGATAAGTTTTGAACTGCCACTTAGGAATTAATCTATCATGACAGAAGCAGTAAAAATTGTCTCAAATGTCACCTACCCATGTTCCAGGCTGTTGTAACCTAGGGAAAGTTATTGAACAGAATAATCAAATGAAAGTTGGTAATGAACGATAATACTTAGAACAAGAACAACACATATAAGATTCACCAGCAGTGTGTAGAAGTAGTCAACTGCTAAAAGTGAGTCAAGTGAATTCCACAATGAATCGCCAACTGCAGGATATCTACCAACATGGTCAGATGTGGCACAAGGTCGAATTTAATGTGGGGTATCCGAGCCCGTAGGTTTGGCAAAAAATTCCCCATAGACCCTGTATAAAACATGGTCCAGTAGCTGTTTCCCGAGAAAAGACTCGGCCCTTCGACAGACTCATCTGGGGATCCTCTCTGTCTGGATGCAGACAGTTTGACCAAGCACAGTTGGAGATGAGTCTCTAACTGCAGGCCAACATACAGTATTTACTACCGTATTTATGTGAATGGGGACATACTCATTATTGTCTGTAGGTATGCTACAACACAGACCATACAAATAAATCCCTGAATAAAATGACCAATATAAAACAAACCCAATTTCCATTTTTACTTCTCGATGTCTTTTCTCCTTATGTTCCTTTGTGAATGCATTCTAAGCCATTCCACATTTTTGTACACACTGACATGAACAAGAATCAAGATACAATATAATTTACTGTGTCAGTGAAAGATTAAGAGGGCGGGGGCTTGAGTGTTTACACAAAAGTACCTCAACTACTACTTTAAAAAAAAAAAAAAAAAAAATCATTTCCCCACAAGCAAGGTGAGGTAAAGTGACAAGGGTTTAATAATAGGGAAAGAAATAGAGAAAAGATTATTGAGAAGAGTGGACAATAAAAGAACAGGGTTCAAGGAGACAGATGATCACAGTTGACATTGTGACACTATTTAGCGGTCGCGTGAAAATGAAAAGCAAGAAATAATTAAGGTGAGAAGAAGCTGAAATAATTAAGGTGATAAGAAGCTATCACGAAAAGACATACTGAGTGATGTCATTTTTTTTGACAAAGAAAAGTGGTGAAGATTTTGTTTTTGCGTTTATGAAAAAGAAAAAATTTTTTTTTTCTCTTGAAGATGGGAGATTAAATAAGATCTCGGATCTGTTGAATTAATTTATGTTACAAAGAATAAAAGATAGCCATCTGCCCATGGTAATAATGAAAATTTCAAATTGGTCAAGTGGCCTACAAAACAGAATGCTAAGAGATAATGGTAATCAGGTACCGCACTGACCGAGAAAGACATCAGCTGAAGACCACCACCAAAGAAAAAAAGAAAGGAAGGGAAAAGAGAAAGGAAAAGAATAAACCATTAACTATCCTTTGGAGATATCATTTGGTTTTGGGAAAAAAACACCTGTTTTATGTTCAGACTTATCCATGATAAGAGTTTGTTGCCTGGAGAGACTGTGGCGACGGAAGCACGTAGGCATTGAGGAGACAAAGAGATTCACTGATCAATCCCGATGATTATTTGATGAAAATTTTGTTGACAAATTCCAGATGACATTCGGTTAAGATAGAGATTAGGGACCAAACTACGAGTCTTGGGAGGTCTGCTCGGGGAAGTGAAAGAAAAACAAAAAATGGGGAAGATAATTTTTTTTTCCTTTGAGCGAAATTTTTAAACTGAGGCCAGTCTAGCCACACCCATGCTGCTGGGCGTTCATTGGCTGAAGGGTGGCGTGAGCGGTAGGCAAAGGTAAACTATGAGAAAGGAGGGGAGGCTTGTTGACGCCTCTGAGGGGATTGGTGTGAGATACCAATATGAGAAAGGAAGAATTTGGGAGGACGATACCCTTAAGAACCCTTCTAAAGCAAAAAGTAATGGACTTCCAAAAATGGAAAGTGATAAATTTTCCTGTTCGAAAACAAAGAAAATCCTTATTGTGGATTTAGAATTATCGAGGAACCCCAAACCACGACAAGCCCACACCCGGTTTTGGTCGGCGTCCATATAAGCAGAGTCGCAGCGAGTTAGAAAGCAGTTGGGGTTAGTTGGAGAGAGAAGTTAGTTGCAGTTGAAGCTGTTGAGCTCCAAGACCAGCCTCGCATGAAGCTGACTGAAGATCCACACATCCCGACTTCAACTTCTAACCAAAAACAATTTATTTTTGAAGAATGACTCACACCACCAAAACAAGTTTTACGAATATCGCCTGAAGATACAGAAAAAAAAACAGCTTCTTAAAAAAAACAACTTAAGATGTTAAGACTCGCATAACAAACACAAAGTGTCACGAATCCATATTAGCGATTTTGAGGAGAAAGATGCAGTCCTGTATTCAGCAAGCAGATCAGATATAAAAATATTTGTTATTCTTTTTTTAACACATTTGAACTTTTTGAGTTGTTACTTTATTTTCTTTTACATATACTTGTGCGATGTCACCTTTGCTCGAATTTGGCTTGCATTGCGGCCCGGCAACTGATTGATTTCGTCTACCTAAGATCAAATCACAACGTGGGTAGGTTAGACTAGAAATCAAAGTAGTTACTTCGGTAACCAGACGTTGGAGGCGGGCTGGGAACGACAAAGCTGATACCGAATCTAACCAGATTCCTATCCAAATCAGCAAAGGGTTAGAACATCACATTTGGTGCCGCGACCAATACCAAGTCACATTGGTCGTCACAGAATAGCACCGAGCGTGGAGGGCCCGGGGTAACATCACAACATTGCATTTAAATTCTTCAAGATTGTAACTGACAGGAAAGCAAGAAGACAGAAGAGAGTTCCACAATGTGAGAAAAGAAACTATTAGGATTGAACTTATATTTATACTTAACCATTTCAATGCTAAAATGGTGAAATCTAGCTGCTAATTTAATATAGAACTTAGATTTGTAAAGTTGTGGTATCAAAGAGTGAAGTTAATCAGAATAATTACCATGAAAATATTCATAGAAAAAGCACATAGAAGCTACCTTATGATGGTCTGAAAGTGAATGAAGCTAGGATTCCAAGTCTGGACTGATAACAATACAGAAACACACACAGACTCTTCCTTCTAATTATAACTTTAAAAAAATCAAACTACTAAACTAGTTAACCATGTATGGAATTTAAAAGAAGAAGAAAAAAACAGTAGGGATCTAATTGTAAGCTGGAAAATTTTTAAAAAGGCAAAGCCTTATAACAACCACAACAATATTTGCAAACTTTGCCAAAAGGAAAAATTATCAATAATGATATTTCCAGATCCAAAGAAGCTTTTGCATCATAAACTGAAGCCTTGAGTCTTTGCATACTGTGGGGAAAATTGTGAAAATGGCTTACCTCGGAAACGCGTTCGAATCTGCGCAGTATGCAAACTCTGGATGAAGCTTGTGTTATCCCCTTGGAGGGGACTCGACGGGTAACGATCGCCACCTCCCTGCCCTGTTTGTGATCATGAGATCAGGGGGAGTGTGGGGAAAATTGTGAAAATGGCTTACCTCGAAACGCGTTCGAATCTGGGCGCAGTATGCAAACTCTGGTCCTTCCAACGTAAAAAAAACCAAAATGGCGGCCCGTTTTTATGCCGGGCGGTATCGGTTAGTTAACGCGAAATCTCGTTGTCTCGTCATTCACATGCAAATCGTGGTTGGTCCGCGGCTGTATAAAGCAGGCTCGTTTTTGCTGTTGCAGATCAGAGGGCTTTCAGCTCGTGAGAAGGTTGGACGTGCGACACCGGTTTTCTTTGTGCCTACCTGCCATCATCAGTTGAATTGTTGCGTTACACACCACACATGCATATTAAAAAATTCCTCTTAAGCACATATGAGACTGGATTAAAAAAAAAAAAAGTACATTTCTATTACCCCCCCACTGATACATTTACTATATCCTTGTTTTCGTCTCTTCAGCCTCATTCTTCACATCCAACTTCAGATGTTGCCAATATTCAATGCATGGATGAATGGTTAACAATTAGGAGAATTTTAAGGTGATAAAGGCCAAAGTAATTGTTACTGTTCAATGACTAAAGTAATATAAACTGGCCAGAAGGTTTTATGTAAAATTCATACTATAAAGGAGTTTTATCATGCCACACTGGAACAAACATCATAAAAATAAATATAAATAAAATAAAAATATGTAAACAATCCTTACCTTATTTGTGAATTTATCACCTTTGTATGTAAAAATAAAGATCGGAAGTAAATTCTCAGTGTAGTTCTTCAACATTTCCGCAATATTGTTTGACAACTGGTTGGTTGGTGAGACAATCACTTGACATCTATCTTGAAGGATTTTTTTTTTCAGCGTCACCTCAAGAGATGCATCCAACATATCTTCATCATTATCACTTCCATCAAAGATAATATCCTGCTGATGTAGACGCATATCTGTCTTGCAGTCTTGCTTGAGACCCTCAATGACAGTGTAATCACCTGGGTGCATAAACATGGAACATGAGACCTCACCATATCGAATGATGATTTCCCGGGTGCACAGTTTATCTTCAGCATCATGTCGGAATGATGGTAAGATGCTCTGTTGTAAAATCCTATTGGCAATGAAGGCTTTACAATGGATGCTATGTCCAAGAATCACAAATGTCAGAGGTTTATTAGCAACTGATAATACTTCAGCTTCCTCCTCAACCAATAACAGAGTATTAAGACCTGCAATTAAAATAATAATTTTGTATTAATTAAAATTATTTACCTTCATACTTTCTTACAATTATTAGTGAGTATCAGTTATTTACAAGTTCTTATGAGATAACTAGTTATGCTCTACTATTTAGCAAGGAGCATCTGTCTGAGAATTACCAGAGTTAATCCTGAAAATACCTTGATCACATCTTTCATTTATTTGTTTGGTAGTCTATATGAAATGTATATTTCTAATGAGCATCAGTGGTTAGCATTTAATCCTAAGTAAAAGTAAAGATTTTCACATATGGATTTTCAAAGCAGAAAAGTATAAGGATAAACACGACAATTTTCCAAATGCTTAATTTAGTTTGTTTTGGCCCTATGCCAGACTAGACATATATATATATATATATATATATATATATATATATATATATATATACACACACACACACACACACAGACATATATACATATTATATATATATATATATATATATACACAAAGATATTACACTGAAAACATGTAAAAATTGCTACACAATTGCAGTTATATCTCAGTGCATCTCATCAGGCAATTGTAAATTACTGGCGAGTGAAGGATTTATCTAGATTTAAAAGCAAAATACAACTTTTTACAAAAATGAAAAAAAGGATGTGATAAGGTTTGTGTGCTTTACTCTGATCAACCAATCAAATATGACGTACGTTAAATTTAAACTAAGCGAAAAAGCAAAAATCAAAAATTATTTTTTATAAATGGTTCATGACCTGTATATTGGCAGCTAACAGCAGCCAGACAAACTAAAGATGAATATGCTTAGATAAATTATACACACCAGATAATGCAGTTTCCTAAGAAATAAAAGTGGGGTGGAGAGTTAATTTAACAAAATGCTAAACAAGTTATATACTTTGTGAATTTCCTACATAAAAATATTTTTGTACTTGATAAATAGTGTCTTTAAAAAAACTAGTAAATAATTTAAATATATATAATCATTTGGTAAATGAATCTGCAACTGTTAAATAATGATCCTTCATATAAAATGTTAAGAACTCTAACCAATCAATGTAAAATGTCAAAAATAGCAACCAAATACCAATATATCTGTACAAGATGTTACCAATACTATCAGGAAATTAATACAAAATTATATTAAATCCAGATTAATCTTACAAATAGAATGATAAGGCATATATAGTCCAATGCAGTACAAGTAATGTGTTACGAACATTAGAATTGTACTCTATTTGTTCTCATCATACCTATATATATATATATATATATATATATATATATATATAAGGATGGGTCAATGTGTTGATAGCCTGAAACAGTTATTGGCTGAAATTTGAGCAGCAATTTTTGCTGCATAATATTATGTTATTTATATTTACTAATGAATTAAATGCATTGACAAGGAAGAAGATTATTTTAAATATTTACTGCATTAAAAATGTTTTTTTTTTTAACACAAAAAAGCTACAGACTTCATGATGTACATAAAAATAAATCTGCTATACTGATGCTTCTTTTTGAAGCAACTACAAATCACAATCAAGTGGTTCTTGTTTATGTTGGTTATCACATCCACAATATCAATTTTCAATAGGCCCAGTATTTTCACAGGTATATGTGTATCAGAAAATGATAACCATGTATTAAAAAATAATGTGTGTGTGTGTATATATATATATATATATATATATATATATAAGAGAGAAACCACAAACGTTTTTGGTTGTAATGTGGATTTTTTTTTTTTTTTAAATATTATGCTTTATTTTCCATAATTTTGCTACATGTGTTTCCAGTTTTGTGATCTCCATTCCACATATTATTAAAAAAAATTAATTTTTTTCTTATGTTTTTTGATGTTAAATATTCTCGATATGAGACATTCTCTTTTTCAAGTTAGTGACCCAAATGTCTTTCTTGAACTGGCAGTGAAAAGTTGTGCATGAAGGGTTATAAAACAATTAAGTCTGAGAAATGGTGAAGAAGTTATTGGCATTCTTATCTTTTAATAACCCCTGTATGTTCTTAGATCAAAATCACAAGAAAATGGAAAAAAGATCTAAGAACACACAGGGGTCATTAAAAGATAAGAATGCTGATAACTCTGAGTGTAGACCTCGAGTTTCATGAAATTACATTTACTCTTCAAGGAGACTTCTGTACAGTGAATGTAATTCCATGAAACTGAAGGTCAAGATGTTTGGCTGTTAAGAGAACAAATTTATTTTATTCAACATATTATATATTTAGATATTAATATAAGCAAAAATATAAACATAAAAATTATAAAAATGAACTAAAATTGTTTACTATTATTTCTAAAATAAAAAAAAAAACAAACAAAAAATGTAATCTTGAACCATTTGGGAGAGGATGCTTTTCCTGTGTTATTTTGACAAATATCCTGTCAACCATTGCCTTCCTCGGTACCTATGAATTATCTGAATCACTGATTCACTCTTAAAGTAACAAAACTCTGGACAAAAAAAAAAAAAAAAAAAATCTTTTGAGGTATTTCACCAGCTGTTTCTGATGGATTATATGTCTCACAAAAATAGCTTTAAAAATTTTAACATAAAAAACATCAAAAAGAAAAAGTAATAATTAAAATAATAAATATTAAAAATTAATCTAAAAGACATTTTGAATTTATAAATTTATCTTATTGCTAATCTTAAAATAATTTTTCAATTTTGAAACAGATTTAATTTTTATTATTAGTTTGATTTTTTTTTGTTTTTTGTTACAATCATAAAAAACACTATTCGTAACTTTTTTAAAGCTGTCCAAAAAGGATTAAAAAGTCATTTTCACAACAAAATAGAAAATAAAAGTAAATAATAAAACAAACAGAAAGTAGAGAAAGACAAATAAACAACTGCTTATGTGTTGATATTAACTTTGATTTAAGGACATGTTGTCATGAAAGCCAATAATAGTTTCTGTAAAGCAATCTATTTATTAAAACTGGAATTTCCACATTTTTCTAGGCACAGTTACTTTAAAGGATTTTCACTCAGACTGTTCTGACCTCAGAAGACTTTCAGATCACCCTAACCATTATTTTCAATAGTTTTTAAAAAAAACTTCATGCAATTTTTTTTTAATATAAGCTTGAATCACAATGTTAACTTTTTCTTCCATTAATTCAACTGTCACTTGACCAGAGTCAGACTAAACCATTAAGAGGATTAAACTCTCTAACAAGATATTTGTACCTTGTAAAAAAGATTCAGGCTTTATGGGTTGTGTATCCAATATAGATCTTAGAATACTATTCACACAAGCAACTAGTAAAAGCAGACACATGTAAGATTATTTTTCTTCACTAGTATTTATAACTAAAGCATGTGTTTGGAAGCAGAGAATTAAGACCACAATATGGCAAAATGTCCAACTATAATATAGAGTTGATTAGAACAGGGTTTTCATTCTTTTTTTAAATTCTGTTTTTTATGTACAAAATCTATGCTGTTCAAGCAATTGTACATTTTGAAACTATTTACTTGTCTGTTGCATAGGCTTTTTACATAAATACACTTGGAAAAGGCATGAATCTATCTTTTCACACCCAGACCACAGTTAAATTGAAGATTATACCAGGCACTGAAGCTTTGACAAACAACTTGTTTAGAAAGATTATCATGAATTCAAAACTATGGAGAAAAAAAACGTCATACCAGTATCTTTCCCAAGAAATAATAAGCAATTCCCAAACAATAAAGAAAAGAAATTTGTGGGCAGTCATGATTGTCTATGTTCAAAATGACCATTGTATTTTTTTTAATAAGAAATAAGACAAATCCATTTGATGAATCAAAATTTAAATATTGTAGCTATGATAGCTTTTCAGAAATTAAATGTATCACTATACACACAAACATCATATATAAGTAAGATTTTTCCACCAGTCCAAGAAGAATTTGGATTACAGCCAAAAGACAACGGTTAAACAGAAAAAAATTTTCTTTAAATAATACATGGAAATAACCATTTTTCACCTGATGAAGGTTACAAGACCTGAAACACATGTAGCAAAAAAGATGTGTGTGTTTAAAATAATTAAATCTTATATTATTTTTCATTTTAGCAACACCAACTTGTGAAAAATAATATAAGAATTAATTATTTTAAATACACACACAACATCTTTTTGCTATCCCTCTGATGAAGCCATTAGAGGTGAAATGCATTATTGGATATTATTTTCAAAACATACTTTCATGAATGTTTTTCCAAATGTCAATAACTTATATATATATATATATATACACACACACAGTTCACCAGCACCATATTTTTCTAAATTATATTTCTTGAATATTGAGGATGGTAGACGAAAATAAATATACTGTTTAATAAGTAAATGGAATGACTACTGAAATAGGAGTAACCAATAAAATTAATATTTAAAGTGATAAAAATCTGTCAGATTGATAAATAAAAATCCATTACCTGAAAAAATTATATATATATATATATATGTGCATACATCTATGTATGTACACACACATCTGCCTAAGATTGCAGTAAAATGCTGTCATAATGGATATATTACTTGCCTATTTACCCCCAAATTAGATGTTCAAATAAGGACAAGATTTACTTATTAATTTTATATAGTTTTTTTTTTTTTTTTTCATGCCAGAATTTATACTCAAATGAGAATGTTACATTATTCATTATATGATGATGTAGTGTCACTGGATATATACAACAGGTTTATTAACAGAAAAGTTTTATTTATCTCTAAATGTCTCCATCTGTTCACTGTTTTCATACAA